ATTGGCGCGAAAAAACCATTGAAAAAGCCTTCTGTCCCTCTGCCGAAACCACCAATTGACCAATTCTTAGCCGATTATCCAACCCCAAAAACGGTCGAATACACACATAATGGAAAGAAGTTGTAATTTTCATTGTTTTGAAAAAGGAAATGAGATTTTGGTAAGTTTTGGTTCTCTCCTTCTTTTTTTCGATTAAAAATGAGAAAAATTGCGTAATGGGTGAATGGAAGAATTGCGTGAGGTTGTTGTTGTTCATTGCGTCATCGTTTATGACAGATAGATAGAAGAGATTGGAGCGTAATAACTAATTAAAGAAATAAATAGAAAGACGTGAAAACATTCCTCTTTTTGTAAGATTAAATATCTGTGAAAGTCCTGAGAAAAGGAGATAAGAAGGGCAATTTGCCTGACATGTTCCCTTAGCCTATAAGATGAACAACTTCATTAAGGGAATGAATTGAACTGTCAATCATGCTTGAATTGACCTGCTCAAATCTGATTTCCATATGGTTTTTTCTTTTTCTCATTCTCTGTCACTCTCACAATGTTTCTTCTAATCTGTCGTCAACTCATCACCTCAATCAAGCATACACTTTTGAAGCTTTTGAAGGATTACCAATCTGGAATGCCTAAGTATTCTCTCTTCACATTTTTTTGATTCCTCATCTTCATAACTTACCCAATAATCTCAAATCCTATTAATCCTTTAGATTCACAAATATCATAGCCTCAAACAATACAAATCATTTCTTAAGTGTTCTTCACCATTTATCCTTTTGTAACAAATCTTACGTGTATAGTCTAAGAGATGGATCAGATCATGCAGCACTTGAGACGGATCATCTTCTTAACAGAAGACAGGTGAAACTCTATAAGAATTTCTTTATGAAAACCCTCTTAATACTGTCTCTGTGAAGAACAAAATAAACGAAACAATTGTTGGGCAGGAATATGTGCGAACACAACCGTTCTTCACATTTGATTCACTAAAAATGAAAACTTCTCATTTCAATCCATCTGCTTAGAATGATGGTATGAAGAAGTGCTGAGAAGATTTTCAAAAAAGGTTCATATCGGTCGAAAGCGAGAAAATGCTGCTTCAATCGTTAACGTCAGTGGATTATTGGATTGCTAATGATCTTTCTTTGTCAAATTGTCAGCTATTTTCACCTACCACAATTCAATTTGTATAAATGAGGTGCTTAATGAGCAGGATGATGATGATCGTGATGGCTAGTAATGCTAATGCTGATGATCGTCAATGTCCAAGATAGTTAATCTTCCTTTTTTTTCTTCCGTTAATGGTCATTTTCCGTTTTCTGTTCAATTGCTTTGTTCATTTGCTTTCCATTTGATAGCCTCATTTGCATATTTCTTTTTTTTGTACTAAAACCAGAAAAAAAGAACATTTGAGGGTGGAACGAACCGCAATCTCATTCCAAAGTACTTTCTGAATGAGAGGTTTAGAGTGAATGAGTTCATGAAAAACACCTTCAATGTACTGCTTCTGTAGCCGTTAATTATGCATTCGAACGCCAGAGTTGGGGTGAATTTTGTTGAAAAAAAATTGAAAAACAACCTTGAATGAGAGAAACAACCTAATTGAGGATAACTGAATAAGAAAATTTTGAAAAAAAGTCATTCGAAATAGAAAGAGAAAGAAAAAGAGGAGAAAATTATTGTTTTGTTAGAAAGAGTTCGGGTCAGGTTGTGGCAGCATCTAATTATACGTTTGACATGAAGAGAGAGGACAGTTACCTTTAGCGCATTATTGTCCGGAAGTACGTATTAAAGCACAAAATGGTATAAAAGCCCATAGAAATTGAAATGTAATAACTATAAATTACTAATGATCATGAGTTCTAGCAATTTCATATCCGATGAGAGCACCTTGTGTTGAGTATTGCATTGTGTAAAACAAAACAAAAACATAAGTTGATGGTAGAAGTTCTATTAAGCAGTATAACATTTAAAATGAAAATGAAACAAACAAATACGAAAATAAACCCGAATAGTAATAACGACTGAAAGATATAAAGAAGAAGACGAAACATTAATGAACAAGAGAGATCATTGAAAATTAAAACTCTAAGTACTTGTGCTTATTGAAGAGTTGTCTCATCAAAGGAAGTTTCGCTACCATAAAATGAAGAAGCACATGGGGAGGTATTCATACCGTCATTTCCCATGTAATAGCATGAGGTAACTAGCGATGAAGCCGATGAAGACGACGAGGAGATGGGTGGTAGAAATGACATCAACTCATTGGTCATATCAAATGATCCGTTTGAAAAAGTGGATGACATACATGCCCCAAAAGTATTTTCTCCAAGGATTGAGCGGAGATATTCAATGTAGCGAGCTGCTTCACGAAGGGTTTCAACCTATAATAGAATTCATATAAATATATTCATTAGAATAATAATCAGTATTTTCTATTCGGAAACAGATAGGAGGTCAAGTCTATTGTTCTTGGATAGGCCATGTGTTGATTGAGAATGCACAAATGATTAATCAGTTTCTCGATCCAAATGGAGGTATGGTAGTTTTGGAAGAAAAATGAGAAAAGTTAAATTACCTTTGAAAGTTTTTGTTTTGTTCCTTTCGGATGGGGGACGCGATCACGCAATGTGTTGAAACCAAGATTAACCTTCAAACAATAGAATGAGGAAAAGAAGAAGACGCAATAGAGCCTACCTGATGAACACGTCTACGCTCTCGTTCATTTCGACGAAGTTTTTGAGTTGTCTTTGTCTTATTTGCCATAATTATGTTTAGAATACTTCGAATAATTAATAAAATAAATTAAATTTTAATTTAATTCTATTCAAACAGAGCCACAATGTCAGGGGAGCTGATGAATGGGAATAGAGAACCAACTATAGTTCGTTGAATCTGCCAGGTCAACTGGTTTATTCCGAGGCGGGGCCAGCCACATTAGGAGATGGGCGGGGTTCAAAATGAAAATAAAGAAAGGAAGAACAAATAAAGAAATAATACTTAACTTATTCTCAAGTAAATATGATAATTTAATATGAAATCATTCAATTTCATTGTCCCAATGGCAGAATTGATATATGATTCTCGTAAAATATATTAAATTTGACAATTATGGAACAGGCTGCTAGACCAGTGAATGAATTTGAAAGTTTCCGAATGCAACTGCTCCGCGAGAAAACAAAAATTAAAATTAAAATCTCACGTAAATCTGTTTCACGTTTACGTGAAGTAAAATGATTTTAGTAAGCAAAAAAGCTTTGGATTCGATATGGAAAAAAAAACATTTCCAGAAATATTCTTTCCGTCTATACAATACAGGTGGTAACAAAAACTGAGTTTGAAGATAGAAATTATTCAAAAAGTGTGGAGAGAATGAAAAACGCACATTGGATAAGGAGAATGGGTATGGATACTCACTCAGAATTTTTTGTTATTTTGGCTGTGATTCATAATAAATTACGTAAAAAGAAGAGAAAAAGAGATAAGCGATGATATATCGATACTTTCAATGATTAAAAAAGAAAGAAGAGAAATTAGATCTCGAAACTTACTTCCAATATCATGCTGTGATTACAGAACTGAATGCCAACGAATGTCCTCCTCTTCCAGACGAGAGTGGCACAGAGTGGAACAGACAATCGTCTGGCAGTTCATTTACAGTGGTTGGCATTGTTAAATTGAGAAATACTCGAAGGTCTTTTGAAACGAAACAAAAAAAATTTGATATCCAACTGTATCGCCGGGTACAGAGCTCACGGACATTACAGTAACCCCTGAAGAAGTTTTAAATTACCATTGGAGCTCACTTCTCTGCTCCATCAATCGTTTTCAGTCATATTTTAAAAAAATATAAATATTCTATTGTTTCAATTAAAATTCTTTCTTTGTATTCCTTTTTGGAACCCCAGAGTGTCCTTGTCACTGTTCATCACTCTTTATTCACGACACCATCAGCCCACATTTCCACTTCAAACCATTCATTCATTTCCATAAACGGATTGTCTTAGTATGTTTAAGAAACAAGTGAAACAGAAATTTATTTGAAAAAGTGATTGGGCAAGAAGAGAGGGAATCATACGAATTATTGAGCCATGCTATATATAACTTTGGTTTGTGAGAAAGTTGTCTAATTATGATTTAATTAACTCATAGAGCATCTTTACAATCTGAGTGTCAACAGAATGATTGTCTGTATAATCTACTAGTATTTTCTTATAAACTAACTAAATAATAGTTGAAATGAGTAGTAAATCCATAATTGATACATGCACAAGAAATAGAAAACAATGAAGATTTGCCCGGATTAACTCCTAGACTTCAAGGCCAAACAGCCTCTTAACTCTCCCACATTCATCCCATTCTCTTCACACTTTTATTATTTCTTCGTCCATTGAGTGCTTTATTCAAATTATTTTATCAGAAAAGGAGAAAACCGCTCAATACACATCAACCGACACAACAGTAAAGCTGTCAATCAGTTTTATGAAAAGACAAGTCCATGATAATGAAATTGCGTTTATATATCCTTCGGTATATCTTTCATCTCATTTCGAACAATACAACTTGACCTAGGTTTGAAAAATAAAATTCAACTGCATCAATAGTCTAAAAAGCTCATAAAACCTGTGGATAATATAAGAAAGTTGTTGATAAATGATGATGATGTCTTCTTTGGCGTTCAAATTTCGCCATCTGATGTCCAGCCGCAACTAATTAAACCAATCACGTTCAATAGAGAGAAGACTAAACTAAAAAGAAAAATACAAAAGACAACTCAGGTCACACAGGTGGCGATTCATTCTACTTCCGATAACGAGAGATTTGACTGTCGGCTGTCTGTCTGTCGTCATTCATGTTTTATGAACTCATTTGCCATCTGCAGCTGAGAACCACTGACACACAAGAACATTGCTTTATATGGCTACAAGCCAAGCCATTCATTTCTTTTTTTTAATTATCCTGTCGTCATAATGACCAAAAGATCGAAAGCTAACGTTTTTACCATATTTGTTAGCACAGAAAGGAAACAGTGCTAATTACTATGCAAATTAATCCATTGCGAACACGAATTGTCTCAATCATACAGAAACGTTCTAATCAACTGATAATTGCATTTGAGTCTTTGCTGTTGAGAAGACTACAACTCTAATCAATGATCACTACAATGATTGTTTGTTCAAATTTCTTCTATCAACTCATATGTTTATGAAATTTGTTTTTATAGAGGACAATCCTTGTCAATATTAGATGATCGAAAGTTTTGGAAGAAAAAATGCAAATCATTCAACAGCAAACATGAAGAAATAGTTTATCCTTAAAAGGAACACCGATTACGACTCAAACTGAGGTCAATTGTATTGTATTTCCATTAAAAATAGAATAAATAATCAATCTAATTCATCAAAACTTGACGAGCATGAAACTATTTTGTTTGTTCTATGGATTAACCTCAGACGACCACTGTTCCATTACATTAATCTAATAATTATTGTGATTAATCATTTGCAAATGAGGCTTCACCTTCATATCCTTCTTAATCTCTCAATTATCAAGCATTACCTTAATAGGCACTCTCTAATATTATTAATATTATAATAATATTTCATTTTTTTCTCAGATTTTACCCTTATACAGGTCACAGGAAGTATAAGCTATGCCCTATTTGTTCAACACGTTTATGCATAACCACCGACCAATGGCACGAGCAAAGAAGAAGCTATCCAATGAATCATCTAATATGAGGGAGAACATAAGCACAAAAGTACAAAGCTCAGAACAACTTGTTATCTTTCATATTTGATCATATAAACGTTTTTATCTGCAATAGAGAATTCGTATGTAACTGAACTGACTCAGACGATGATAGTTGAGCACATACAAGAGGAGCTATACGAGCTCTCTGTGGGTATACAATACACTCACAAGGTGGGAACATGTTCATAATATCTGAATTAGTTGTGAAATAGACGAATTTAGAAGCAAAATAATACAGAAGAAAGTAATTTCCTCATCTTCATATCTACGCAACCGGTCTTGATGTCAGCAAATGAAAAATGAGGAAAATTCAAATTGACGGAGTTAAAAAAAGTAATTTTGTGTACTTTGACCCCAACAGGGTTTGTGTTGATTGTCAACGATTATCACTGCTTTTGTAATGTGGCTGGAGATATTGATCGACTAATTTAAAATTGTTCAAACTTTTTCTTTTTATATTTCTTATTTTCCTATTTTTAAGATCAATTTTGTTCGATAGAAATGGCTTGTCTACATGCTTCTAAGTTCTTCAAACCTATTGTCACTCCTGCTCTCCCCCCGGGCAGCATGAAAGTCAGTTTTTGATTAAATTCAAAAAAAAACATTGGTAAATGTTCAGGGAAAGGTTGCTCTTGTCACTGGAGGAGGTACAGGAATAGGAAAAGCAATTGCCACAATGTTCGCGCGCTTAGGAGCGAACGTCGCAATTGCTGCGAGGTTACCTAGCTCATAGAATTCCTTGAACATAGCCTCTATAGAAGAACTGATGTATTGGAGAAGACAGCAGCGGAAATTCGCAAAGAAACAAATGGAGTTTGTGAAGCATTCAAAATGGATGTAAAAGATCCAGCTTTGATTTCGGAAACCATAGAGAACATCACAAAGAGGTTTCAATACGTAAGAGATTCCCCAATTTTCAAACTGCTCTACAGGTTTGGTTCCTCTCCTAATATTCTTGTCAATAATGCTGCTGGTAACTTCATAATGGCAACGCAACGTTTATCTCCGAACGCCATCAAAGTGAGAATTCTGGTTCTGTTTTGTTTTACTTTCAGTTCTTCAGACCATTGTTGACATCGTATTGGTCGGAACACTGAATGTCACTACTGAAGTTGGTAAAAGAGCTATCAAAGAAGGTCATGGATGTTCTGTTCTGAGTATCACAACTCCTTATGCCAGGTATACCCGTCATCAATATGTTTTCATCTCGCACTTTTGTAAGACATGGTGCACCTTTTGTCGTACCATCGGCAGTTTCCAAGGCTGGAGTCGAGAACATGACAAGATCTTTATGTAGCGAATGGTCTAAGTACGGCATTCGATTCAATGCCATAGCTCCTGGACCTGTACCAACAGAGGTTTGAAGCTTTAAGAAGGAATACATGTTTTTATCTTTAGGGAGCTTTCGGTCGCTTGTCTGATGTGACTATTGAGGATGCTAAGAGCGCCGCATCAGCAAATGTTCCTATTGGAAGGTATTTTCATAACACAATCCTTCAGCAAGAAAAACTTTGTAGATGTGGAGAGCCAGAAGAAGTTGCAAACTTGGCTGCTTTCATCTGTTCCGATTATGCCAATTGGATGAGCGGAGCTGTTAGTTCTCTCCAAACGATCATGTTTTCAAAATCTACTTAGATAATCGACTTCGATGGAGGACAACAGTTTATGAACCATGGATCTTCATTCGGGCCCCAGTGGCATGAGTTATCAAACAACGATTGGGAAGCTGTTGAACAAAAAATTAGAGGAAGAACTGGTAAAACTAAAAGTAAATTGTAAACTTGTATTTGTATTCATCATGAGTATGGAATGCATCAAACACGTTTGTTTCACTTCGGCTATTGGTTCTTCTAATATGTATTTTTAGCATGTAAAATAAATGTTTTCTTCAAATACAGTGAGGTATGATGAGCTGATCTGAAATATAACAGAAATTTGAATATGCGAATACCCATGCGCGATCCATTTTTCATTTTTTGAAAAAATTCCGTTGAAATCGGCTGTTCATGATTCATTCGCGTATTTTAGTTGTTTGTGTGGTATGATTAGATTATTAACTGTGAAATCGGAGTAGTTCCATTGATTTTTAAGGTTTTGCATGTGCTAGTCATTCTGCAACGTCTTGGGAGCCCCCTAGCATGGACTCAAACGCTTTCAGTGCTGGTTTGTTTCATTGGAGTCTTGATTGAATAATTAAATATCATGCTCTTTTCAAATTAGTTGGACATAGGATGTGTTATTAACATTTTCTCTTTGATATTAGCTGGGACAACATTCATTCTGTTGTCACTTCGTCCTTGTCGCTTGGCCATACCAAAAGCAGGAGTAAGTTAACATTTTTATTTGGCATATCGTGAAACGTTTCTTTAAAGTTTTCCGCGTTCATGGGTTTCACAGCTTTGCTTGAAATCTGTGCTTTTGGTCTATTTCTTGTTTATTCAATAGTAGAAGATCCTGAAGTCGATGAAAATCACCGCTTAAATGGCAAGGCTTGTGCGGTAAAGTCAAAAATCATATTCTCTCAAGCAATGAGATAGAGAGCATCTATACTATTTCAGATGCTCTCTCTTTTTGGAACAATAAGTGCTATCATTGTTCTGCCATTATTCCTCGTAACTGCACCACCTGATGTAAAATCTCATCGACCGGACGAGTATGACAATGGCATTTGAAGAGAAAAAAAGAAAAAAGAAACGAAAAGCTTTTTCTTCTCGTTTCTAATTTATTTTTTATTGTTTATTATCGCAAACAATATGATATTTAATGAAAATACAATTATGTTTTATACAAAGAAGGAAGAACTCTAATCGGCGATCAAACTATGTCTTCTACTCGTACATTGCTCTCTTTTCAATCTTTCTATCTCTCATTTTCGTCTTCTTCATATTCCCCCACGCCTCCCCCAAGATCGTTCGATTACGAACTTTTGAAACAAAACTGTTTTGTTTGCAAAACCCTATTTACTCAGATGAACAATATATTTTCTATGTAATTGCTTTTCCTTGTCCTGTGGCTCATGTAAAAAAATATATTCTTGTTATAATCTTCTGCTATTTTAGTTCATAGCTGTATTATCAGAGAAATTGCATTTTTTTCTTATCACTTACTTTGTTGCTCTCTATTTCTAGCAAAGCTTTTCTTTTTTATGTCTTCTAGCTTGCAGCTTTTGCATTCTATTGTGAGACTGTCTATCATTCTCATATTTTCAGGTATGGGCTTACCTCCACCAACTGCATTTGATAAGTTTTTAGAATGGTTTATGTTCCGTTTTCGCTGGATTTTCGTAATCCTTTTCCTGCTGCCGCTCAGTGTTGTTTATGATACATATTTTGCTGTGAGAAATTGGGTTGTCTTCAAATTGCAATCTGCACCAAATGCTCACGACCGTAAAGTTGCTTTAATACAGAAACAGGTTGCATTCCTAGTTCTTCCTCATTTTACTTATTATTCATTTTAGGTCCGCAGTTGGAATGAAGGAAACAAGAAAACGAAAATGTGTACAGCTAGAGCCGGATGGATGACTATGAGCTTCCGTTTCCCAACATACAAGAAGGACATGACTCTGATTAGTACAGACAAACTAGTTGATATACTGGAGGTATTTTGTTGACTCTTGTTCATCCCATACCTAAGGTTTAACTTTGTAGGTTAATGAGAAGGAAATGTATGTTCGTGTAGAACCGATGGTAAACATGGGGCAGTTGACCAGGTTCTTGATTCCCCTTGGATATACTCTTCCCATTGTTCCTGAGTTAGATGATTTAACTGTTGGAGGTGCTCATGCATTCATTACTTTGTCCGCTCATGCGTTTCCTTTTTTTAGGAATGATAAATGGATGTGGAATCGAAGCTTCAGGTAGAAAGTATGGAATGTTCCAACATATTTGCTTGTCTTATGAGTTAGTGATGGCTGACGGAAGTCTCGTTGTGGCATCTAAGGTACATTCTTTTTCTCACGTGTCGTTCTTAATCTTATTACTTGGAGGAAAAATCTGAAAACCCTGAAACACAGGCTTTGTATTATGGAGTACCCTGGAGCCATGGTACTTTAGGCTTCCTAGTTGCTGCGAACATTCGAATCGTTCGCTGCAAGCCTTTCGTTCAGCTTTCATATACTCCAACAAACTCAATGGAGGTTTTTATCTGTTTCTGTTTCTCACTATAACAATATGGAGTTAAGGAAATGCAAAAATTGCTTGAAGTTGAATCTGCTGAAAGGAAAAATGAATTCGTGGAAGCTCTACAGTTCTCCGAAGATAAAGGAGTTGTTATGTGTGGAAGGTAAGAAAGTTTCTCGAGTTTCCAGTCTTATCTCACTTTTCAGATTCTCAGATTGCCCTACTCGAGACAATGTTAACATCAACCGTATCGGGAAATGGCATAAACCTTGGTTCTATACCCATGTTCAGAAAGTTTCGGAGAGAAATGAAGTCGGATTGAGAAACAATCTTAACATTCATCTATTTCTTTATAGCCAATGGTTGAATATATTCCTTTAAGAGATTATTATCATCGTCACTCGAAGAGTATTTTCTGGGAAATCAACGTGAGTTCCCAATATTGATAAAATCGTAAACTATCATTGAAGGAAATCGTACCTTTTGGAAATAATATCATTTTCCGCTGGCTGTTGGGGTGGATGTGCCCACCTAAGATCTCACTTTTAAAGGTATCATTTTAATGTTTTTACATCACAAATGTTTATTGAAGCTGACTACTCCACCAGCTCTCCGTAGACTGTACGATAGAAACCATGTTCTACAGGACATGCTAATTCCATTAGATAAGCTCTCTGAAGCGGTCAAGTTATTCCATAAAGAAGTAGAGGTAAGATAGTTTCTCCAAATGTCATTATTCTCGAATCATTTAGATTTATCCACTGTGGCTTTGTCCATTTAGTCAGCCATCCTGCCCAGGAATGTTCAAACAACGCTCAGGAAAGAACATAATGTATGTGGATATTGGCTCATACGGTAAGAGAACATAATGAGTACTAGAATATTTTCTTTGCCATGTAGGTATTACAACTAAAAAAGACTACGATCCGGTTGATTCAACTCGTCGTCTCGAAAAATATGTTCGTTCAGTAGATGGGTAAGTCGAATTATAATCGCAAATGTGACCATTTGTTTCCAGAGTCCAAATGTTGTACGCCGATACTTATATGTCCAGATCAGAATTCTGGCAAATGTTTGACAACTCTTTGTACGATTGGCTCAGACTCAAGTTCAACTGCGCCGAAGCTTTTCCAAATGTTTATGACAAAGTTTGTAAATCTGCGCGATACTAACTTTTCTAGTTTATTTATATTAACCAAATTCTTATAAGCGTGTTATTGTGATCTGTTTTGAACATTTACTAATACATTAAAGATATACTACCTCTCAGTAATATATTCTCTAACAGCATTAACTCCCATTTTGATAATACCCTCAAGTATACAAAAATCTGTCCGTCCGTGAGACTGAAAGCTATTTTTCTCGGGTTTCTCTTTTGTGCGGTTATTTGCTTGAGCGATATCTCTCTCATCATTACGTGAATATATAATGATAAATTAATGATTTATATAAATTATACCCTTGAGGGCACTACTCCGTTTTGTCTTTTTCAGTTGCCTCTTCTCCAGTCTCTCCGAATTCATTAACTCGGGACTTATCAACTGGATACAAGTATCTCTGATACAAATAAACAAGGAAAACCAAATCATCCCTGGAACAATAATAACTATTAGAAGACAAACAAATTAGTCTCACCGGAAACAAGCAACTCTATGAGATGTTGGCATAGTTATTATAAAAGCGAAAATATCGTCGATGAAAGTATTAAAAGCCTGTAATAAGTAAGAATGAGCAAAAGAATTTGTTGAAAACACACCTTGTACATGAAAGCTCTCCACGGTAAATGAGCAACACTTTTCAGTTTGTAGTTCACGAACAACTGAGGCAACATGAACAAGAAGCCAAAAGCATACACTCCATTAGCCATACTTTGAACAACCCAACTGTACCAAGATTTGTGAGGGGTATAGATCAAACTACAAACATCAAGATTGTATAGCAACATTGGCTTCCTCACTTGTAAACGGCTCCTCCAAAACACAATGGAATCATGACATATGAAAGATATCGCATAGCTTGTGCATCAAACTGTTCTGTCTCCTTCTCCGCAACAGATTGTGAACCAAATTGTAATCCTCCGGAAAACGAGAAGGATATCTATATGAATCAGATCACACATTGTCATAGGTCAACTCTCAGAAACCTTCAATGCTTTTTTCACTTTCCAGTATTCAATTAAAACAGACACTCCAGAAGGAGCCAAAACCAATAAGCTTGTATCCTGATCCAGCAGGTAGAGGAAAATTACTGTATGATAAAAGCTGCTCCATAAAACGGCCCTTAATGAATCAGTAACGTGAGCAGAGTCAAAACGGTTATTCAAACTTTGTGGATAAGCCAACCATTGTTTTACGTTGTTTCCAGAAGGAAATATCATTTTTGAAAGAAAGACAGTCAAAAAGCAGGTGAACTGTTGCAACAACAAACGTCAATGCTAAGAGGTATGGATTGGTGTCGACGAAAACTGATTTCATCTGAATATGGCCTTTTACAGTCGAAAGTTAACAGAGAGGTTGCCTTACATCATCGATATCTTTCTCTAAGAAACCCATGCGCTTCAGTTGTTCCATGGATTCGAGAATAGCCACTAATAGTCTTAACTTTCCCATGGAACTTGGTCGATAGTCAATAGTTACTTCAGTTGTCTTCATGTCGCGTTTGATCTAGAAATCAATTAGATTTCATATTTTGAGAAGCATTTCAATACCTCAGCTAAATCTTTGTTTCTAAAACTGAGGCTATCCAAATAGAAAATTGGTAAATACTTGGCTTTTGATCCTTTACCGTGAGCATTCATCAAATATCTTTAAATAATAACCTGCACACAGTGCTTAGTAAGAAATATCCAACCTAATTTCCCCTGGGATTTTATCAGCAGCCAAGTAAGGAGCATCTGAACACCCTGTTAAAGGAACCACGGTCCTGAGAAAGGAAACGGGTTTCTCAGCTAAGAGCTTAAAAAAAGATTCGTGGAGTTTAATGCTTCTACCGTCTTACGTTCTTCTTTGTGGTAACATTCGTTTCTGTCGAATCATCACTTATTAATTTGAAAGTCTCAGCTTCCCGGACTCGGTAAGTTGTAATTTTGCTTTGTTGAAGAACAGACCATTGAGCTGATTGAGGGTTTTCCCCATTGTAACTCTGGGGTAAAAGGAATGAAAAGACGTAAAGAGATCCATTGTTTCTAGTCGACCCAGGAAGAGTAATATTTACCTTCAAGCAATTAGTAGAAGGAAAATATTTCGAGCTATTCAAACTTTAAATTGGCTAGAGTCTGCCAGTTGGAATTCGTCGTTCTTCAAAACTAATGAACCTAATCGGTCATGAGAAGCGCTTGTGTACACCCTGAGCTGAAGGAGTGGGAACTTGCCATCATCGGAAGGTTCAAAGAATGGCTGAAAAAAACATATATTCCATTGAAGTCCTTGAGAACGAACCAATTTACAATTCTTGGTCTTGTCTGCACATGTTTCGGGGGTAAATAATAAATAAAAATGATACATAGAATGACATAGGTACAAACTAAACAGCAAGGTGATTAGGCTGGTGAAACTCAAGCCCATCCTGAAACAGAATAAATAAAAATTTGAGAAATGCAGTTTAAAAGTAGAAAAAGTGAATAAAACATAAAGTAATTCGATAGAAATCAAGTATAAAATGTTCATTTACATCACACACATTGAACGTATTTCACAGAGATCGCGCTTTGGATTGTCGAGTATGTAGTTGAAGAAGATCAAAAAGCAGATGAGTTAACTAAACAGCGTTCGTTAAAGTATGGATGCTGCTTCCGTTGGGATGGGCCATCTGTTTTTAGCCATCCTTTCATCTTTCCATTGCCTGAATTCTCTTCATCTTCCCTGAAACACAAAAATCTTAGAAGTACAAAACAAATTAAGTGGATCGCTCACCAGGTCGCTTTAATACACTTCTTATCAATTATGACATCCGCAGTTTTCCACGAAAACCTAACAATACTCGAAAACCCGAAAAATGGATCAACACTTTTCGCTAAAAACTTTTTCGTGTTAGGATCTGTATGAATACAACGTGATTACATGTACATGAAGTAAACAATTACCTCCAGGATAACCACTACCGATCCCACCATCATGAACTTTCACATTTTTCTCAACAAACGTCCATGACTTCAATCTCCGATCTCGTGTTACCTAAACCTATCATATTCGAGACTTATGATCCTTCTTTCTTTCACCTTAGCAGCAATCGAAGCAGCAGAAACTATAGGATATTTGGAATCAGCCTTTTCCTCCACAGTAACCGATATTCCAGGGAACAATTTTTCCAGCTTTGCTTGATAAGTAGCTTTTGGGCCAACAGTATCAACTTTGATCTTGAAATAAAGAATAAGCGATTTCATATAATCTTACGAACCTCTACGACATTAATCCCAGCTTTAATAGCATCTCTAATCAATGTGATAGCTGCCTCATGAGATATTTCGTTTAACGAATATTTTGCTCTTCTCAACATTGAATTACTAATGTATTGTGCTGATAAACATCTGATGGCAAATGCAACGTACTACAAAAACAGCATAATCTTCAAGAAGAATAACTATGCGTACCGTTTTCACTTCTTCTTCAGTATCCATTCTTTCGTATATTTCCTCTCTTTTCTGTTCAGTTAATGCTTTTGAATCGTCTACTCCCAGAGACTTCAAACTTTCGTTTGCATCAATTGGTGAAACAGCGCACCCATACACCATTGGTCCAAGCACAGGACCTCAAAAACCTGCTATACCTAATGATCTAGATACATCATTACCTCGGCCCGCTTCGTCAATTCCTAAGATGCATGGCTTTCCCTGAGCGAAATTCTGCCATGTACCCGAACATTCAGTTTCACAAGAATAATAAGTCATGATAAGCTGAAAACTAGTCGAAAGTATTGACACATTTTAATTATCTTTTCATCGAGAGAATTACTTTAAGCGTTAGAAATATTACCGTAGCTTCGTTACGTACATTTCCTAAGAAAGGAATGCTTGATAGTACACATTCATTGCATATTTCTAATAGTTCCTCGCAGGAATCTCATAAGAGCAACAAAAAAAATGGAATAGCCTAAGCAGTTTATGAGTTTCTTATCCACTTCTCCTTCTATGCTTGAAAATGAGCATAATAGTTATTAATATTCTCAAAGACTCTTATGGCATTCTCCCATTTCAATAAAAAAAACAAACATTGTTCGTAGATCGAAAATTAATTCATGGAATGAGCTTCACCTTTCAAATTTCTCACACAGCGAACCCAACCGCGCGCCAAAATGGATGAAGTTAAAATGAAATTTTTACGTGAGGGTGACGTAAACTTGTAACTATTCTTGTGCTAGCTACACTGAGGCCTATCCGAGTGTATAGAATCTCTTTGATTTTTTCGTAGATGTTAACCACTATTATAAATGTTTAATTGATTTATTTATGAAATAAAGTAATCCAAGTAACCAGATACGTCACAATGGCCTAACGGTGGAGGATGTTGAAAATGACCGGACATTTCGCTGTTTTTTTCTTTCATTTTTTGCTTTGCGATTCATTTTAACGAAAGCCAGATGTTCTCTCAATATTCTATGGAGAATTAAGTCGTTCTCACAATGAAAAAAAAAATTAATAATGCCCTTATTTACTTAAAGAGTTGGTTGAATAACCTTTGCGAGGGCCATCTCCAACGGATACGGGCTAAAAGGTGAGGAAGTTTGTTGAGTTCAATGTTCGTACGAATTAGTATTCCTCTTTGAGTCGATCGTTTCGCAATCATCTTCGATTGGAAAAGATACAACCTCTCTCATACTTTGAGCCTGTTGATTAATTGTGAACGTTGATGTTATTGTAGAAGCGTGTGGATCGCGTGGACGGTTGTATGTACAACCGACCTTTCATTGTAATGCTTTGAATGTGTTTGTTTTTGAAGAAAGTAATTTTTTATATAAACAAATGAGGGAGAGTTACATTTTCATATGACATTTACATACATAAGGTGGAAATGTTAACGGTAGCGCTTTCACGAAAGCACAGCTTAACTTTGGCTTTTCCTTTTGACAAATATGAAAGCAAGCTGATTGACAGATAGAATTTGACGAACGAACAAACAAAAACGACAAGGAATTGGTTACCAATCCCATGAGTAAATCAACTTTTCAGACTAACAAGAACACTGTAAAGTCTGTAAGTGACCTAAGCGAGCGATCTTATATTCTGCGACAATGCATCAACCAGTTTTCAAATTGCTTTTATTCCATTACCTTCTCATAGATGTTTTTTAAAACAAAATTTTTCATTTATTATTTCCTTCTAAGTCACTACTCCCTTAACAATCACCATAGTACCTTTTGCGATCGGAAAAAAGCTCCTGACCACCCAACATAAACTGTCGGTCAGCTGAGCTCACACAGACCATTCATTCTGCGCTTTACCTGTATTTGAAATAAACATCTCACTGGCTCCAAATTTTCAATTCCAACTAATACACAATATCATTGCTATTTCGGATATAAGACTTGAGCTATAATCACAACTGATTCCGGCAGTTTAGACTAAATCCTCATATCTCAATTCTCCGTTTTCCCATAGTTTTTATGAAAAAAACCGCCCGCATAAAGGGAGATTACTTACATGCTTTACCTCATTTTTGAAGTTTATTTTATTTTGTTTGAATAATTCGAATGTTTTAACTGAAAAGTGTATCCATTTCAACTCTATGATTTACTCGAAATCGATGAATTTAATCTGTGTTATAAACAGTTTTTGGGATTACTCATAGAACTAGATCCCACTTTCCTTCATCTGAATATTGAAGTCACTAATGGCCTTTTTTTATTTTTAATTTCAGCCACATTATGCGAGAATTCATATTCCTTCTTTTCACCTGCTGTTACGCTTCTGCCCTACTATGTACTTCATGTCCATTCACTATAAATCCTCCCTACTCCACAACTTGTAATGAGACATGTGAAGGAGATTTATGCTATATTAGTGAGTTGTTTGGAAATCATTCACCTGAGCTTATTTGTTTCGATAGTTGTTAATAAGCACTTCAATGGAACTGTTATTGCTGGATGTTTAAATTTTAAAGGAAATGAAACATCTTCCAACAACACAGCTGTTTGCAACAGGTAATTCAATTATCCAGTTCTCATTACTTACTTCCTTTGCAGAGGACCAGAGAGAACGATGTGTGCCTGTACAACGTCCGACAAATGCAACGATCCAACTGCCCCAATTGCCGAATTTGATTTCGTGCAAGAAACGATTCTGGATGGATATCAGGTGATGCCTCAGATCCAGCCAACTGAGACTACACGTAAGAAATCCAGTCTTATTCTTTATTTTTTATTGTATAATTTAGAAAAACCATCCGACGAGGACGGAATTGGTAAGTACATAAGAACAATGTCATGTGTGCTTTATCCCTCGACAGGATAAGCCTGCTGAATGAGCCGAACATGGAACTCATTCTCATTGATCGATTTCAGGTTTCACCGTACGAAGTAACATAACGATAGCGGATATTAGTCACTCTACTCCGGTGCCAGTCATCTCACATAAGTGAGTTACTATTCTCTTTCAATTGTCAATATATAAGAGGTTGTAGTGAGAACGAGGCTTTGACTAATGCGTCATCATCAGAATCTGCTCAAATTAGTACAGAGAGCCCGTCATCTTCAAGTTCATCAGTGAATAGCTTAGCCTTTACATTTATACTAATGGTGATGTTAACAAAAGTATTCGGATAAAATATAACCATATTTGGTTATGCCCATATGAACAAAACATAAAGAGTCCAAAAACGTGTATTTTAACTCAAATGCTATTTTCATAAAGACATTTACTTATAAATTTTCTTCATTTCATGTTTTTGACAGAATTAACCAAAAAAAGAAAAATTGAGCAGAAATTATATTTCAGAGGAAAAGACACATAAGGAGGATGCTAATATGAAACTTAATAGGACCTATGTTGTTAGGAAAACGATAATGGTAACCAGAAATTACTTCCAAATACCTAAAATAACACTTAAGATTTTCGATTTCTTATCGAAGATAGTACCTTGGATCTAAAGCTCCAATAACTTGATCAAAATTAATAATTCCTTTGAAAAGACCTTCCGAGTAGGTTGAGTATGGTAATCTGGCGTGAATTGAATTACACTTATCTCTTCTTAATATACAATGTTTTCGAATTCAAATTAGAAAGATAATAACCTATTGCACACACATGTTGTTTGATTAAACGAATCCTCACACAGCAACTCTGCTCCAACACGACGCATGCGGAGCTCTGTACTCCTACGATTCACCTAGAAAATTGTTTTATTAGGTCTTAAACAGAAATTCACCTCTAGGTCAGCTATCTGCCACGGAGTCAATTGAACACATCCTGACATGTACTGGTAAACAGGACAGTGCTTACATTGCCCTAAAATCGTATTTTTAAAATTAATTTCTGTTTTTGGTATATTACTCATAAAACATGCGTCTCCTCGACAGGTTGGAGCGTGAGGGCCACATGCTCGAGATTCTTTAACGGATGCTGATCGCCATACTTGTACGCATTGAATACATTCTACCTAAAAAGGAAGTAATAATATATTGTTTGAAACGACCCTTACAGATCCTGAGTTTGATTCAAGCTCGAAACTGGCAGCTGTGGCGCCGATTGTTGAGTGAAAAGTGAGAAAAATGAAAAAAAATCGTAGTGAGAGAGTTTGGAAGACAGTTGACAGAAAAGTAAAAGTTAGGGGGCAAAAACAGCCCCCTAAGGGTATGTTGTGAGTAAAATTACGCACGTTCAAAATCCTACAGCCTGTAAAAACATGTGAGTTAAGTGAAAGTATAAAGAATCGATAAGAGACATCAAGTGTGCATATATGGATGACATTCAAAAGTTGACATATAAAGACATAAAATATGAGAAAAGTAAGAAAAGTAAACGTGTCTAATAGTCTTTGAAATAGACAGGAAGTCGATTGTTTTCTGACTCAAAAGCTGCTCCTCAGTCACCATGGAGAACAAGTTGCTTAAGTTATTAACAGAAAGACAGAATTTCTTTTATTTTAGTTAAGTTTAAACATGAAGGGAGTCTTATATATAGTTAACACAAAGAAAAATAGATAAGGGTCGGCTGAATGAAGAAAAACGAATGCACAGAGATTCGAAAGATGATACGTCCACTGAAGAAGCTTCTAAGAGCAGATGTTAAAGTCTTATATTACAGATTAGAGAATTCAAATGCTAATTTTCAATCTAAAAAAAAAGTATAAGAAGAGGAGAAGAAGAAAATATCTAAAAATTGTCTCAATTTCACAACATTTCAAATTTCCATTAAAACTTTCAAACTCTCAGGACAAGACTCGACAATCAGAACAGACGGCCTGCGCTGGGGGCGGTTTGCAGCTAAAGTAAGCTCTCATACAGCTCATTTTCCTTATACGTATTGGATGGGATATTCATTCCGCACTTTCTTCGTAAGAAGTTTTAAAGAAAAATAACAAAAAATAAAAATGTTCAACTGATTTACTTCAGTTGGCTGCCATAAACTTAAATGTATGATGGGCTTGAAACGAGTATGGGAACTAATTGAATAACATGCACAAGAAGGGGATGACTATAGAAGCATGTAATCTTGTTGACGGCTCTATTCTTTTTTTTCATATCTTACGCATAGAAATTTGATCAAATATTAAAGAAATTCACGGAAATTTTTAAAAATACATATGCTTGTAGTAGCCGACATAACTTCACATTGTTTAAGAAGCAGAGAGAAAGAAGCTAAAGAGATGAGGGAAAGAGAACGAAAAGTTGTAGAACAAAGATATAATTACCAAGACGAATATTATGGAAGAACAGACAAAGCTCAAAGAGAGCATTCGAAAAAAAAAATGTGAGTATTAAAAGCTAAGTGAGACGTTAAGGACAAGGATAACTTCAAAATAAATTGTTATTTGTCCTCTGCTAATTACTCAGTCATCTATATGGCAGTTAAAGCGAAAACTGTTGTGATCAATAATGAACATATGGAATGTAACCATATAGACGGAAGATAGAATTCAGTTCAGACGCTGCTGAAGGATAATCATAAGCATGTGAAAGTGCTGAGATATTTGCCTATTCATCTGATATTCTGCATAATTTCACTAAATTATAGGAAATGAAATGAATGGCGAAGCAAGGATAGACCCGAATTGTACTTACATTCTCTGATTAGTTACGTGAACATATGTAAGCTAAATGAATAATTTGTCTTCAAAGATGAATTATATAAAGAACATGAAAGCTTTAAAAGAATAATTGATTAAAAGCCTTAGTTACATCTAGATGGCCTTGGTTTCTCAATTGATGGCTAATCTTAAGCTCTCGTACGCAGCCATAACTATTCTTTAGCTGTATGGCAGAAATCCAATCGTGTCTAACTTCAATACTCTTGACAATTGAAATTTGCCAGAATGAAAGTTTCAAAATTATTAAACTTTTGAGGTTGTGCATACTCCGAACCAGATCAAGACAAAAATACTAATATTCATGTTTGTTTTGGCTCTTACGACTATTTGGAAAGCAAGACGAGATTTTAAGCAAAAACATAATAAAAAAAAAAGTTAGGAAGGGTTCTCCTTCATCTGATTCTAGACGTAGATTAGCAAGTTTATAGACGCATACATGAATCAATGATTCAATAGGGAGGAGCACCGATATGCACAGATACAGTGTTAGTATAATCTATTCACAATAATTCAATAATAATGGAAAAAAGTAAAAGGCAGCCTGACACTTCTAGCTTTTTCATGCTATTAAATAAAGCTATATAAACTGAACTAACTAACTGGTTTCAGCTTTGCTAGTGTGAGTTATTTGATTGGGTTCGTTTCCAAACGCAGAGATTGCTTTTCCAGATATTGCAATTGAGTCTCATCGTGCGCTGAAGCTTTCAGAAAATGGCCAGTTACATCCCTCTCTCAGAATTTCTTCTGAACTGATTTATTATGGCAGCATCTTTCCGGACTTGAATGACAAACAGATTCAATGTAAAAAAAACATGAAATCTCATGATTGCCTTCATGACTAATTGGATTAAGCTATGGAATTGTATATGAGCAAAGGGTGTCTGGTAATAAATGCTGCCTATGCACAAGAAGTTGGAATGAATCAATGCTTAAATCAGGGTTGAGAACGATTTCTAGTCTACGTATCTGAATCTCACATATAGTTTACTCTACACATAGCAACATTAAGCCCTAAGCGACAACGAACATGCAATCGCATAGAAGCGATAAATCACATACCTAATGAACGAATTCGCATCAACACACTCATTGCAAATTATGGGACATCATTAAAAATAAAAATTTTCTCATAGCTAGGCAAGAAATTTAGATATATCTAGCTGAAGCATAGATTTCTAATTATAATTTACGTCTACAACTCAATTAGCTCCTACTTACGTCCTAATTTTGAACTGCAAAATTTGTATGAGGCCCAACAAAAACAACCTGCTGCCGCGTCTTATGTTTTCGAAAATGAATTTTAAGATGAAAAAGACGCCACGTGAATGCTCCACGGAAATTCAAAAAATGCTAATTAATGAGCTATCGCATCGACACGTCTTTATGTTAATTCAGGATGCGTAGCGAATAAAATGAGTTGTAGTACTGCAAAACATTGTAAGATATGAAAAATGGAGAAAAAAACTCTGTCGCATTGTACATGTACCTCATATTAAATGAATCGTTATCGTCAACATGACTATTTAGCCCCTCAACACTCATTAATAATTTAAATAAAAGCAAAACGTATGTTCGATTTTTGATGAAGAAGATGATTAATTTCTGCACATGTAAGACATAGGTATACAAAATTCATGACTGCTCTGACACTTTTTCCAATATTTCTCACAATATCTTACTTTTGTCTGAATTAATCATTCGAAATAAATGTTATTGGTGATATATGTTCTAAAATATTTACTATAAAATAAACGCGTTGACGAGTGGTTTAAACTGCGCAACTATTTTTTTAGCGGACATATTCAAAAATTCAATTTGTACTCCGCGTACTTTCGGTTTGATTCTTGCTTGGAGCCTAAGATTACTTAATAAATATTTAAAACTCTACATGTGCACTAACGGAAGATCTTTTATCTGGATATCTACTATGCTTTTTCGATTCGAAAAAGTGGCGGGATCTGTATTTCAAATAGAAAATTACAGAGATCAAACCAAATATGATCGAAAATAGTCCGCAAACAATTCCGAACCATTTCAAAATTGGGTTCACATTTTTAAAATTGTTGAACTTAGTTTGCTAAAAAAGAATATGATTATTATTCAGCATGTAGCTATCAGTCTTACGAAAGGGTGGCTATAGCATTGGCCTACTTGTCCAGCTCGCTCCACAACACAAACGCCCATAATGAACGCCCCAAAACAGTCTGCCTGATCAAAGCATGTTTGTTTAGTCACCGATCTAACGTCTCTCTCTCCTGAATTGTTATGAACTTATGTGAATAGGAAGAAGTTTGACAAACCTAGAAGCCAACAATAGTTATCCTCACAATAACGCAATCCATAGCCACAATCAGTTGTCACCTTACATCTAGTATTCGTTTTGTATGTATGCTCAATTATTCCTCGTGATACTACAAGAATGTGTTGGAATAGACATTAAACAAATTTCTCACCTCTAGGACAACATCTTTTCAGTTTTGGATCGCAAGTGGCCGATCCCAGACTTTTCTGCCCGCAGTCTGAAGGTGTGGCGCATTCCGGCTCAAGCGCAGGAATAGTGAAACCATCATCGCACAGTTGTACTGAATTGTTTCTTACATACTCTTGATGAAGAATCAACTCACGTTTACAACAGACTCCAAAAAGATACCCTTCTTTTTTGTAACAGAGTACCCCTGTTGTCGAATTGCGAAGATTGCAGTCCGAATGTTGTTCGCATGATACCGTTTTCGAACGAACCAATAGATCTTGTGAATTCCATTCTGCCGGACAAACAGACACTTTCATATGATCTGAAAAATTAAGTACAGTTCCGAAATGTGAATCAATTTTACATTCACAACAAAGGGCCATTTTGCTTCTACCTCCATCATATCTCGGTGGGAAACGACAAATTTGTCTAAAGAGTTTACTAAAAGAATGATAAGTTTAAGCTATGAACCCTGTGTCACTTCTGGGCTTCACAACACCATATTTGGTCATGGGAATGTTTGAGCTAACAACAAGAGCGCTTTCATCATCGCTTGTTATTTCTGGACAAGTGTCTAGAATTATGAATTTCGAGCATACAAAATGTTAATGTCTGAATTACATTTACAACAGATGCCAGTAACAACTTCTCCTTTCTTAGATGTATATCCATTGTGTGTCATGTCGACATCACAATATTCGCCTTCACCACAGTTTTCGCTGCTCGCACATGTTACTGGTTCATCGTCCTTATAAATGACGTCTCCTCCACAAGTTGGTTCTGTTGAAAATAAATGGAGGGCAATTCGTTTGCCACCTACTTTTGAAACAGTATCTATGAGTAGAATTCAGATGTCTGGTGGCATCAGAAGACGCAGAAAGATAAACAGCTTTTCCACAATATTCATCGGCGTTACAGGGATAACGGGGATAGGAACAGTGATGGGGCTAGAAATTAGAAGTTTTCAACTCAAGGAGTTGCATGCTAATCATCTCACTAGTTTCTCATTGATGTTTATCACAGGTTTCACCATTGCAGACTGTATGTAAAAGTTCCGAGCAAAAGGTGTGCCTTAATGACGCAGTAAGTACCCAATCAACATATAGAAAACATACGACAACATACGTAGTGGTCATCCTCGCGTGTGGTATACGCTGCATCTTCATTACATCGTTTGTCCCATAAATGGCCACCACCGTCGTTGGTGAACAGGGGTAATATACCTTCACAATACTGGTATCTCGGAGAACCTCAAATAAATTTTTCTGAGGCAAAACCAGGTTTGGTACCACAGCAGAATTTCGTTTTCATCTTATTATTAGGTAGAAAGCATCCAATTTGGTTAGTCGTTCCTTCAGCACAGTCGTCATCAGATGAGCAAGTTGTGGTTGGAGGAGTTTGATCATAAGGACATTCTATAATTTTCTTATTGTTTCATTGTCCCTGTTCTACACCTTACTCAAGTTCTCTGGTATTGGTTGGCAACAATATTCCTGCAATCAACTGATCTTGTGGTATAGTTCAAAGAGGGAACTACCGAAAGACAGACTCCTAGAATATCTCGACAATCTTCTTTAGTTGCACATTTTCGCAAGGGAAGCAGCAATTGGCTGGTTTTATTGTAGTAATTTTTCTCTGAACATACCCACTTCTGATCTGAATCAATGAAATTGTCAAAAATTGCTTGAAATTCAAGAACCAAGACAACAAAATTTTATATTATCTTCGTAAACATGATACGCTTTCATCCCTTCAACGAATGCAGTATGTAAGACAGATGATTCACAAACGCCTTTGGTACCAATGGGTACAGAAACTACCTAAGAGCAATCACTTTTTTACGTCAAAAACTAGAACTCACTCTAGACGGGTGTAAAGCTTTCGGTAAGTGCCTCCTGCACATTTCTTCCCTGAACTTTTCGAGGACATTTCCATCAGCTTGTATACTGAGAAAGTAACACGCCAACACTAATGTTGAATAGAACCCCATAAAAATTGGTAAGGAGAATAACTTCAGAACTGGTTAACAACGGATCAACCAATCCAGTGCCAAATGAAAATCGATTTACTACTCACGCGTGGCTTTTGAGTTATGCAAATTAGATTATTCAAATTTCACGTAAACGAGTACATGGGTGCTGGCAAGAGATGTAAGCAAGTATTGGTTTATTTATGAGAACTCGCACGTTATTCCTAACATCCTAATCATTAGAACAATTAAAGATAATCGGATTAGATTGTGAGCTTGCTTGATCACTAGTCATCTGAACATCAAAGACTTCCTATTATGATTTGAATCTCTTTTATACAAATTAAGCCTAGATTCGAGCTTAATTATCCCACTTTCAATATACTAAGCATGTTCATATAAATTATTCTCAGCACAGAGATATAGCTCGTCTAATAACAGCTCAAGATTTCTGTAATTGAAGCACTCATTTCAGAACGCTATGCATTTGAATATCATTAATGCATTGCAAATGAGCTACTCGTATCTGGGACGCATCAAATGAATAGAAAACTCTGAGACGAGTAAGATAAATTCAATCTTAGCATACAAATGTATCGTACGGAATAATTTTTTTTCATTCGAATCCATGTCACTTTAACATATATTGTGCTAGTTGCCAGTATTATAACAGAAGAAAGAATCTTTACAATTTATTAAATCACTATACATTCGAACTCTTATATTTGTAACAATTGTCCGAAGTCTGGAGGACTCATTAACCGCGAATATCTGATCTATTCCCTTAAGTTCTATAGTCTCTGCGATCTAATTTTTAAAGGTCTAACTGATCGTTGCAAGACTTTTTCCGTATTCGAGAAGGATAGCCAGTTTTAAATATTAAAACGGCAAAGGTTGTACTTGAGTTTCTTAAATTGCTAACTATTCTGTCTAGTAACGTTTAAAATAACTTAATATTGCTGTATAATCTAATTTCAGTATGTTACCTGTTCAAATTTTGAAAGAACAAGCTCAAGAGGAGCGAGGAGACAGTGCTCGTCTTTCCTCCTTCGTTGGAGCGATCGCCATTGGTGATTTGGTAAAATCGACTTTGGGTCCTAAGGGAATGGTAAAGATATTTTACAAAGAAGTTTCAACATATTGATATCTCATTAGGATAAAATTCTAATCAGTGGAATGGATGGTGCTGGCATTAATGTCACCAATGATGGAGCCACGATTTTGAAATCTATTGGAGTTGACAACCCAGCTGCTAAAGTCCTAGTTGGTGTGTTATTATTATTTTTTCAACTTCTGAAGAGTTTTTTTCAAGATATGTCCATGGCTCAAGACAATGAAGTTGGAGACGGTACCACATCAGTTACTGTTTTAGCCGCTGAGCTGTTGAAAGAGGTAAGAGCTATTATCCTAGTTAACGTAAAGGTATTTCTAGGCTGAGAAACTCGTCAACCAAAGAATTCATCCCCAAACTATCATTTCTGGATATAGAAGAGCTTTGAAAATCGCTCAAGAAGCATTGAAAAAGTCGAGCAATCCTTCAGGGTTTGTGAAAACAAACAAATAGTTTTTTAACGTTTCATGTTCAGCTCCAACTTGAGAGAGGATTTATTAAAGATTGCTAAAACCACCTTGGGATCCAAGATTCTTAGCCAGCACAATGATCATTTTGCTGCCCTAGCCGTTGATGCGGTCCTTCGTTTGAAGGTAAAAAGTATCAGGAATAAAAATTTTAAGTTCAAATTATAGGGTTCTGGAAATTTGGATGCTATTCAAATTATCAAAAAGTTGGGAGGAGCCATGAATGAATCTTATTTAGATGATGGTAATTGAGTACATTTGATATTTAACTAAGTATATTCGCTAGGATTCTTATTGGAGAAACTTCCTGGTATGTATCAGCCCAAGAGAGTTGAGAAGGCTAAGATTCTCATCGCTAACACTCCTATGGATACTGACAAGGCAAGTTCCACTGTTCTAAGATCGCAATCAAATTGATACTTTCCAGGTTAAAGTGTTCGGCTCTCGCGTCCGTGTTGACTCTGTCGCCAAGGTTGCCGAGTTGGAAGCCGCTGAGAAGTTGAAGATGAAGGAAAAGGTCAGTAACTATTTATGGATGATTGTAAAAAAAATATTCATTGTCAGGTAGACAAAATCCTCAGCCATCAAGCCAACGTATTCATTAATCGCCAACTTATCTATAACTACCCTGAGCAATTGTTTGCCGATGCCAATGTGATGGCAATCGAGCATGCTGACTTTGAAGGAATTGAACGTCTTGCTCTTGTTTTGGGAGGAGAAATTGTGTCGACTTTTGACACACCTGAAAACGTCAAGTTTGGATCTTGTGATCTCATCGAACAGGTTATGATTGGAGAAGACAAACTACTCCGTTTCAGTGGAGTCCCATTAGGTATAGAGTTTAGATTTGGGCCGCGTGCACGAATTCATTTCAGGAGAAGCCTGTTCAATTGTTCTCAGAGGTGCCACTCAACAAATCTTAGAAGAGGCTGAACGTTCACTTCATGATGCTCTTTGCGTTCTTGTGACTCATGTCAAGGATTCTAAGACCGTTGCGGGAGCTGGAGCTTCTGAAGTTCTTATGAGCAGTGCTATAACCGTTGAAGCTCAAAAGGTTTTTTTATCATATGTTTGCGAAGAACAACTCTCAATTGAAGGTTGCTGGTAAAGAGGCTCTTGCCGTAGAAGCTTTTGCTCGCGCTCTACTCCAACTCCCAACAACCATATGTGATAATGCTGGTCTTGATAGTGCTGAATTGGTAACACAATTAAGAGCCGAGCATGCCAATGGAAACCACGCTTGTGGAATTGGTAAGCCTAAAAGCATAAAATTCCGGAATAATGTTTTCCAGATATTGAAAACGGCGAAGTCACCGACGTTATCAAGCTTGGTATTATTGAATCTTTCAACGTGAAGTTGTGTATGGTTTCTGCCGCGGCTGAAGCTGCTGAGCAAATCTTGAGAGTTGATGATATCATCAAATGCGCTCCTCGTGCTCGACCTGCTGACCACAGACCTTGTTAATTATGGCGAAGGTAATGGAAGACCCTAATATCCTACTAAGAAGGATGCTGTTCTGCTAGCTTCTGATCTTCATTGTTTTAAGCTTCCGATCTTCATTGTTTCAAGCTTTTGTAACTACTTTGTTTGAAGTCTTCGCCTGTTTCTTGTTTTTATTACGCTTTTTTCGCTTGTTTTAATTAGATCAGTACGAAGTTGGTTATTTTATATGAAAGCATAAACTTAAAACACAATTTGAACCAAATTAGTACAGGGTATATAGGGATTTGGTTTCGCAACATTGCTCACTGGCGATTACGGGAGGTGCGCATGGGGACCTGAGTGAGGGGGAAATAGAGGGACATTTGCCGAAGGTATCCAGTCATTGCGACTAATCATCTGACGCTGACCGGACGGAATGTTTGTGCAGGCCGAGATGGACTGTACACCGGCCGAATTGTTCAGTCTACTCTGTTCTCTTTCTTCCTTTCTATACAATATCTCAACTCCCAGCTTTCTAGCTGCATCCCCTCTATTTTATTACAATATATCGTCCCTGTTTGAACGTTCCTAATTCTCTTTCCTCACACTACTTCTTTGCACTTGTTCTCTAGAATTTGCTGCCTTCCTGTAGAACTGGCGTTAACGAAAACGCCCATCTGACTAGTCCTCCACCCCTTTTTCTTCTTTCGAAAGAATAACACCGTAGAGACAAACCACGTTGACGAATCTGTAGCTTGGCTCTCTTTATTTCCTCCAACTAGCTCAAGAGTGGAAAGGGTTGCAAAACTCTCCGGAAGATAAAGACAAGCAGAACAAAGTTGTCGAGTTACTCGAAGTCATCTCATGTCTGTACCGCCATCGCGGGCACACTCTGAGGTAAGTTAAGCCTGTTCAAGTTTTTTTTCCAATTTTTCATGTTAAAGGTATTCTCAGCAAGCCAATATGGCGGTGTGCAGACGGTACGACCCCGTCGAAATATAAACTATTTCAATTTACCAACCTTTATTCTTCACATTGTGGGATTAGCTTGTTTGTGGGCGCTCTGGTATTATCTAAGGTGAGTTGCTTGTTTAACAGTTTTCGAAAGAATTCGCAAGTTAGAAATATTTCCTTATTATTGCCTGAATATTAATTTGATCTTTCTTAGATTCACAACAGTTTTCCCTTATCATCAAAGAGTTTTTTATTGCCGAGACATTCATTTGTACAAACCGAATTTTGTCAATGAAGATTTCAATGTGTACGTCTCCTACCCATTGTTGTACACCCTGGGATTTGTCTTACCGCCAGTTGTTGTAAGTCCTTTTTCAATCTTTCTAAAGATGAGTGAGTCCGAGAGCAGTTTATAAAAAAGTAAGAACTGTTATGCTAAATCAGCTTTGAAATTTTCTTCTTCTAAAGGCGCTTTCTCTTCATTTAAAGACTTTTATCTCTTATTGGTCATATTCTGTTTGTTTATCTGCTCTCTATTCTGAGTGTACTCACGACAAGCTTTTGGTTCAGCAAATCACTCCACTGGCAAGTAGAGGTCAACTAATCATTAGAAACATTCCGAGTAAACTTTCAAGTAAAAAACAAATGACTCATACTGTTACTGTGCACAGATGATTGACAATCTTTTGTCTTGAGTACATAGATGGAGAGAAAAAGAGATCAAAGAACGCCATCTTCTAAAAAAGTCTGTGTGGGAGGCTTTGGAGAGGGTGAGATCATTCCTGTTCCGAACAACAAAACTGAAGCCTCACATCTAAGCAAACTTTAAGTCATTTTTCTGAAGAAAAAAAATGTTGAGCTGTAGATAGGCAAACGAAAGTGAAAGAGTGTGATGAGGGGCACATCGTTATTTCGCATATTTTTCAGATGCTCATTGGCGAAACTATGTTCTGGCTTTTCAGTACTAAACCAAGAAAAACAGTCTACGCTTCATGTGGAGAATGCAAAGTCCATCTTTTCACAAGAAGACTCATGCGTTTCGTAGGTATAGAAAGAAACTCCGGTTCTTCCGCTCACTCACACTTTTTAGCTATTTTCTTATGTGGAGCTTTAGTCACTCAAATTTTTGTCGATACAATCAAACTCATGACTGGATATCAGAGACCGTATTTCCTGTCACTGTGCAATGTGTCTCTAACGTGAGATAACCCAGGAATTTGATATATTTAGAAAAATATTTTTCAGATCCTGCACGGCTCCCTTGGAACACTCGCCTTCGCCATCACCACATCTAGCTTGCAACTTCCGTGGTGCAGATGAGTTGAGATATGCTTGGTTGACTTTCCCGTCTCTTCACGCAGCCTTCTCCAGTTATTCTGCTATCTTCGCTTCGGTTTGGAATAAGCTCAATTTCTCAAAACTTTTTTTTTCAGTTATATATATATTATATGATCAATCTTCGCGGAGCTCCACTTTTGCGACCATTCCTAATATTCGGATTTATTGGCTTAGCTATAGTCGACTCTTTCTCAAGGATCAATGGATATAAAAATCACTGGAGGGATATTTGGGTCGGATGGGTTATTGGCGCATTGATTGCATGGTTCTTGGTTCGTAATGATGTTTGGCTTATGTCTTCGTATGTACCACTCATTTCAGTGCTATTGTGTACTTTGCTTCCAAGAGGTTTATCATATTGTCGTTGAGAAGACTCCTATGGTAGAAGATAGAGAACCTCCGTTCTTCAGTTGGTTCCGACTGCCCCGTGTACAAGCTCCATCCGTTCGTGAGGATTATGTGTAAGATTACTCGTGCCACCTCTTCAAACAATTCGGGTTACCTTTTAAGAGTATATGAAGAGGATGTGCCACAACAGGCAGGAACTGTACCGCGACATCGCAGGAATCATGATAAACAATATGAGGTATACAATGATATAGTTTTCTGCTTTCATGGTTTTCTTCAGGTTACGACAACGACCGAGTCTTTCCATCGAACCATAAGTCCACCACAGAACAATGGAGGATATAACTATTAATTAAACTTAACACTCATTAATATATTTCTAATATTTCGCAATAGATTTTTGTAAATATGATAGATAAATATTTCTTTCAACTCATTCGAAATCGTATATGAACTGTTTCCTGCCGTTTCTCAAACTGTCAAGCTTGTGAATACCTACAAAGACTGCCTATATTCACACAACCTTTTCTATATATTAGGGTCAGACACGTCAACCCGGTAGAACTTTTGTCATTAATTAAACACTTTTCGGGCTTTTGGCAAATAGTAAATTAGATCAATTGAAAATCATCTCGAATGCTTCACAGTATCGCTTGAAAGTAAATAATATTGATAGTCTGCCGATCAGTCTCGTATTACTGGGTTGGCTGTAGTTGGGAAAAGATTAAAGATAGAGCTTCCTCACAACTTTTTGGCACATGTAGCATACAGTTGAGCCTCGTTGTTTGAAATATTGATCATTGGCCGTTTTCTTCAAGCGAAGAGAAAATCTTGTTTCTGTTTTCTGACGGAGAAGAAGGAGCCAGCAAACTTTCAAAGATGCATTTCATAGAAAATGCTGAAAAAGGAGCAACCTGTCCATATTTGCTTTGTTTGCATCTTCTGTGCTTCATTCTTCTTGTAATGAAACAGTTTAAGAGAAATATTTATACTTTGAAGTTAAAACTTATGAAAGTCTATTTTCACGAAAAGAATCTATTTCCTTCAAAGTAATGGGACTGTCTACCATCTTTAACCTTTCTCTATCTTTTTGCAATAAGCTCTCTGCTGAGTCTGAATGAGCAGTTTTCAAATCTGACTGTGTGGAATATTTACCTTTTATATTTCCATAACTGTTTCCATAAGCTGTATCATAACGATAACCAGCTGTCATTATAAGCCCAGCTATAGGAACCACGAAGTCCTGATGTTTTATAATGCAAATGGAATAATTTTAAGGACTCACTTTTCTTTTGTAAATAGAGCCGGTGACTAGTAAAAGTACCGTTAACGTCCCAGCACCTAAAACCTCCCATAACAGGCTCTCTCTACGCGAACTCAACTGAAAGGAAAAGACTGAACTAGAATGATTCTATGAGAGTTATTACCTCGAGGGCTCTGATCTGTAAGAAACGTAATTCCTCTCGTGCAATTCTTTCCTCGATCTAAAAAAGTTTTATAGATATCTCAAAACATTCATACTTGTTGATCTTGAAATTGTTTAAGTTGTTCTACTTCTTGCTCTGTAATACGCGATCGAGATTGTCCCATCTAGAATGAACTTTTGACAAAAAAACAGAAATAACAATAGTATTTAGATACTTGGAGATGCTAAACATCATCGATAAAAACAAATAAATTCGTATTCTTCTTTATAAATCATTTTCGTACTTCATTTCCCTAAGTTCCTTGATTTTTGCCCTAACATCCTCAACAGTTAATGGAGTTACCGTAGGTATGTCATCATGAAACTTCATCAAAGATTGGGCAGTTTCTGTAAACGAGAGATTAAATCAGATCGAGAGGCCAAAAAACCGTTAATGAGTAAATGCTTGTTTCCATAGCATGAGTGCGCCTTGTATCCCAGGTATGTCGCTATCGGTACAATAGGTAACAAGTGAATAAGGTTTCTGAATGAAAAGAATTGCAAAATAATAAAAGGTAGGGTAGATATTACTAACTTGTGATGATATGATGATAAGACTGACAACACCGATGTAACTAAACCTCCTGAACCCAACCAATTCAACTGCTCGCGTTCGTTTGCTAACTGTGTATAAATAACTACTAGTTGAACTCCATTTCTTCTAACCTCATACATATACTGCCGTTGTCGCGTAATTTCTAGCAAAGCCAATTCTCTTTCTATCTGTAACACGTGAATTATCAATCCCTTATTCTATTTGGAGAAACTCTTGTTTTTTCTAATTCGCGTAAGACTTGTAAAGAATCGAGACTAGTGGCGCCCGTAGAAAACACACCTCCCATTCTCCGATTATCTGAAAGAAATGAGAATGTACTACTGTAATAGAACTTTTGGAAGCGTAATTATCAAGTTTGAATGTCTTTACACTGGATACAAGCTCGCAGAAGCTTCAAGTAGCCAGATTTTTTTTGAGAACTGTAACAAGCAAGCTCAAAACGATAAATTGCGTACTCAAAAATTTTGAGCTGAGCCCAACCTTACGGTTGTGGAGAGTTTCTTGCAAGCATGCATGGAGCTTTGAGGTTACTAACCAAAAGGTTTCCTGTGTTCCAACTCAAAGGTATGAATTTTTTTTCAATTTTTAGTATAAAGCTTGTTTTTATTTTCCGCTGTAGCGCTTCACAATGGCTCCTCTTCCATTCATAAAATAGTCACGCCATCTACAAACAACTTAATCGTTCCTACATATGGTTTGTTCACTGTTATTAAGCAGGGCAATTTTCTTTTTCAGTGCCCAAGAATGATATTTCTGAAATTGGGCCTCTCAAAAACTTCAGATTGCCTGCTTTAGACAATCCCAGAGATGTATGTAACAGAACGTGTGTGTTCAATCATATCTGTTTAGATTTATACGTTTCCTACATTGAATCCGACTAAAATCGTTGAGCCTTTCATATCTACAATTATTGAAAAAGCTGATCCAACTAAAAATGTAATTCGTGTTTATTTTGGCTTCTTACCGACATGAATTTCAGATAAGCATTGAGTGCCCATCTTCTGAGGTAAAACCAGAGTTATCGTTGGCCCCACGACTTTTAACCATTCGTCGTAAGAAAATGAAGAAGCACAAAAGGTTAGTCGTACACTTAGCATTTCTCATTTTTGCATTGTTTTTCAGAAGAAAACGCTACGACCGCGATTTCTTCAAATATCAAAAGTATCACAGGGAGAAAAAGCTGAAAGTGCGTTTTTGCAAAAGTACTTATTAGTTGTGTGTTGGTTTCAGGCTGAACGAGAGTTTTTGAAAAGAATGAAAAGTCATCTTGCTGAACTGGATGCTTTCAATCCTGAGAAATATGTTCGAGAAACTATCACAGAGTTTTTATAGTAATAATACTCTCTATGTTAGAAGTTAATTTAAGAGCCAAGAAAGAGTGGAGTGATGAACTAGCACCTACAGGCAGGAAGTTGTATCCTCATTGGTCTCGCTTAATGACTTTAGAAGAATTGTATGGGCTACAGAAAGATGATTACATTGATAAAGTATATGGAATGAATTATTCATATTTAACTATTTTTTTTCAGAAAGCAGGATTTCCCACCGATGAAGATTTAGAAAAAATAAAGAGCTTGAAACTAGATTATGCGAATAAGTACAGGAAAGTTTAAAATAGTTTGTTATGTAGTGATCTTAGTTGTTGTTATTCTGTTACTGTATTAAAATAATACATTTCTTTTTATTTTATATATTGGGATTGTTGTTTCAACAAAAGCCTTCAGCTTTATCGTTACTTATGATTTGAAATACAACCGCTCTCGAAATCTCTGAATTTCACAAATGAATTTCATTTTGCCATTGCAGAATTTCACGTCACCAATACACACGCGTAATCAATCCTCTTTAAAGTTATAAGGTTAATTGCTTTGCAGTTTATTTTTTCGTTCTATACACTATGATCATGTGATATAACATTATTGTTGTTCCATCACCATGCTCCTGTATGTTCTTATTTCAGATGCTCACTGATATTTTATTTCTGGCTTTTATTTGTTGCTTATCAGTAGCGAGCGCTGAGGTTCGTTCATATAAAAGAGAATTCATCATTCTTTTCCTCAGGAAAACTTTGAAGATTCGAGGTGTCGTTGTCTGTGTCCCAGTACTGCTTATTTTGTGCGTGAGAACAGTTCCAACCCTGATAATCATCGTCGGTTTTATACCAAAACGAATGTAAATCCTGGGTTCTGGTAATCATCTTGATTATGGAAAAAGCTACATTGTCATTCTTCAGTAATCCACAGAACGTTGTCAAACCCGAAGTTATCGACGATGTCGTCGATACACATATTGATGCCTTCTTGGCGAACTGCAATTGTAAATACGAATCCAGAAATTCTGTAATGCTCAAGGTGGGTTTCTTAATGTTTATAATAATCGAATTTGATCCTTCCAGGTCGTTGTAAATTTCATAATAGTTGTAATATTCGTACTTGTTGCTTATATGGCGTACTTGGTTTGTCTGGAACCTATTTTCAAGAAAAAACGGCATGACGTTCCTTACCGTCATCAAAATGATGATGTGAGTTATACGCGGTATTTCGAGCACATCTTTATCTTTTTTAGATGGAAGACAACATTTTCGCACGAGTTAGTGCAAACTCTGCTGGTTCTTCTGAGTCTCCGGAAGTTACGAACGCCAGATCTAGAAACTCCATCCCGAGTACGGCGTTTTACAGCGCTTTTCATATAAATATATATTCCAGACGTACTTGATCGTGTAGAGGCCGAACAAAATAGATGGAAAAGACAGGTTGAAGTTCAACGAAGAAATATTTTTGAAGATCACACAATGCTCAACTGACGCTTTAATATTTTGGAGATTCATACTTTGCACATATATTGTTATTATAATATTTATTAAACGCATAACATTTCTTCAATTCTATCAACCATTCAGTTTCAAGTATCTACCGGCATTCCGGTTGGTTATTTCGATCACATCCTTCAAAGTCAGTTCCTTCATCTCAAGTTTAAAACAGTTAATTATACCCCTCGCATTGTGCATACCTTAGAAATGAAATTTGCTGAGATTATGCAATTAGACGGTGTGTTACGTTCTCCCTTCTTCGGTCCTAATGCTGGGGAGTCACTCTCTAATAACAGAAGATCCAAAGGTACTTTTCTTATGAGCCTTTCCCCCTGCAACAGTGATGTGGTTGGTTGCAACCTAAAATTCATCTGACATATTCCGTAGAAGCATACGAGGGTGGGACGCTAAAAAAGAACCCTCTCTGAGCGCCATTCAGAATATCCTCATCACTTCCACCGAAAGCGTGCAATAGAACCCCTTCCAATTTCGTTTGAGAAAGTATGTTTATAGTTTCTTCCGGAGCCGACCTTGAGTGCACGTTTCTGAGATGAGAAAAAGTTTATTGGAGAGCGAACTTTGCTTAAATAATACACCGGGAGGTTGAATACTCTGGCAAGACGTAATTGTTCTGTAAGCGATTCTTGTTGAGCTTCCTTGTGTATCACGCCTGATTTGAACTGGGAAGGAGTGAAATCCAATCCAATCAGAAAACAAAATATAAATTGGTTTGAAATCTAGAATACTTCTCCGATACAGCGAATTTTTTCTCTGTTGTCTATGATAAAACGTTCCATATCTTGGAGATCTTCGAGAACACAGCATCGTCTCTTTTTCTAGACTTTTGTTATTCAAAGTTTACCATGAGTTAATTACCTGAACGGGATGAATACCTATGGCAGCAATAACATTGTTCGGGAAAAGCTCCTTCAACTTCATAACTTTCTCAAATTGATTCCGAAACTCAGGAACCACAACAAACTTGTTAACTCCTTCTTCAATAGCTTGTTGAATCACTTGATTAACATCTTCTTTGAACTTATTATCCACCAAGTGGCAATGACAGTCTATCATTACTTGGGAGAAAACTCGATATGGTTCTTAATAATACAACAAGATATAGAATTGCTCATGACTACTTCATCGAATTGACTAAAACTTTCGTCTTCGTTTTTATTCAAATATATATATGTATACAACATCAGGCCGATTTCCCATTGGAAAAGTTACGGAAAAAGGAAAAAGAATTCCCGGGGTTAGTAGGTTCGAACTTTCTTTTTACGGGCTTTTTCACCGGCCTAGGAGCAAATCCAGAATCTTCTCTACTGCAAATATAAGAATATGAGAGTTCTCAAGTTTAATGTGAATCATACTTCTTAAGCATTTCCAACGAACGTTGAGCTCCTTTCGGTACAATACCAAGTGGATTAGTTTGCCTCAGAGAAGCACCAGCTGAGATTCTATTCAACACATTTTTTGGCAAAGAGAAATCGGCACTAGTATCCCTGAAATGAGCCAAGTACCCTGCTTCGTTTTTTTAACTAACAATGTTTCATCCAAGCTTGGAAAAGGAAGAGCTTTGTCCATATCTCCTTGATATTCAAAATTGAACGAATCCTGCTGCTCTTCATTCGCGTTTCGAATCTGTATAATGAAACAAGGAAACTATCAATTCATATTACTTCTACCTTTCCCATGACAGGTTTTGATTTAAACGCCGAGTCGATTACATCGTCAGGGATTACAATAGATTCATCAAAACCTAAAGAAGGTCTTCTCTCCCTAGGTCTACGAAAACATCGATATGATCGGATAAAGACAAATTAAAACTGACTGTTTATCAAAAACTCTCTTCAATCTTGGATTATAAGGCGTATTCACGTTATGAGCACATCTCATTTCATCCATTTCCGCCTTCAATTCCTCAAAATATCAACAACAAAAAATGGCTCTGAAACGCATCGGCTAACCTGACAAAGCTTCTTATAGTAGGCCAACTTTTTGTTTTTGATTTCATGATCTTTTTCATAGGCTCTAATACTCTGCTGTAACTTCGTGTTGGCATTCCTATTCTCTTGTAATTGTCTCAAAGTTGGAATTAACTATCAAGGCTTTATAGGATAACTTACCTCTTTAAAAGATTAATGAATTGGCTAGAACTTGGGTCACCATTTTTATCCACATATCTATCCACAGCGGCCTCAGCGTCAGAAACGGACCCCTTGGCTAGTAACTGATAACTGAAAAGAAAAATTAACGATGTACAGAATTGATGTTACAATTCTGCTGCAGCCAGTCTACTTTTCGCTTTTCTAAGCTCCTCTTGAACAAAGTCATAGTCGCGACATCGCATTTCTAGCTCTCTGTTACGGCTCTCGAGACCAGGGAGCTTGCGTTCAAGTTTCTTCTTTTCTCTTCCCAGCTGGAAAGTTTTAAATGCATTTCAATTTTCAGAAACCCACCAAATCTGTCAAGTTATCGCAGTTTTTTTGCAATTCTTTGATCTTCTGGTTCAACTCATATTTAGATCCCTTTTCCTTCTCCAGTTCAATAGACAGCTCTTCACACTCAAAAACTGAGTGTTGCAGGGAAGCTTAAGTCACAAACCTTTTGAGCATAGTCATCAGCACTTGTTTTATCATGTTTATCAAATTCAATGAGATCAAAGTAGATTTGCTTTATTACGTTCTTCTCTATGACTAGACAACGACATTGCGGACACGTTTTGGATTGCTATATTATTATGAGATATTCACGGTTTTGTAATTTTGAGTAACCTGAATCCATTGCACAACACAAGCATAGTGGAAAGTATGACCACAAGGTAAGCAGGAGATGTTACCCGAGTGAAAAGCTGATGTGCAAATAGCACACCGGGCAGGGATGAACCCCATTGTTAAATAGGTTTTTCAAGTTTCAGGTTTGGTTAATGATTTAAAATAATGAATGAAAACATATTCAACATAAAACACAAGCGTGGGATTCTCCCACCATCTATCGCATTTCAAATTGGCGCTCAATTTGTAAACAGAGCATGAATACTGTTGAAATTTAAAAAAAAAAACTTTTTGTAGGAAAAGGAAAAATAACTTAATAGGGAGGAACGCGTTCAGAATTTTCTACATGTTAGAGCAAATGATCTATAAAATTGATGATTATTGAACTGTTAAGATGGACGTAAGGTTCACAGTATGCTATGATGAACCATCATTTAGAGACGAGAATATTAGTGAATAGGTAGGTACTTTTAAGAAATTTGACTACTGCTTTCTCATTACAGGCAAAGAAAAAATCACATTTAACAATGTCTATGAAATATTTCTCTTAAAATTGGATATCTGTTAACTCTATAGTTGATTGTTGTGAGATCAAATCAAGTCCAGAAACATGAAAAGAGTGAATGTTGTAAAAAAAAGACCGGATGACAAGTTGTTGACTGCCAGGTAAATATGTCGCCAATCTTGGGTATAATCGGGCTGTAGAGAAAAAAAATCAAGTTATGCTTTATTAGAATTGTTCGCACCGTACTATCGGAAGGTCCTTGATTTTCGTTGTCGTTTACATATCTCAAGTAGTGCGCTAACTGATCCGGCTCGATACAGCATAATGTTCGATTAACCTAGAATTTTGCATCACTATCATTTTAAATCTGTCCACCTACTAGCTTAGCCGCCAAATATAATCTATGAGTAGGAGGAACAGTTCTCCTAGCTCGACTTAATGCCATACATCCCACTGTGATAACCATGCTTAGAGCTGTCATTGCGAATACCGATTCGTAAAAGCGATCTGAGAATTCAGATGTGGAAGTTATGAATAAATCTGACATGCAGCTTACAAATTTTGGGCTTCACGCCAGCGAAACCGTTTGGTGGTGCAATAGAACATAGATAGAGGAAGCAGAGTGTTTGGAGAGTGAGAGTGACGATTTTCACAAATGATTGTGTTCTCAAGTCTCCGAATAAGGGGGATACCTTAATTTGAGTTTCATAACTCTTTCTTAAGAAAATCGGAGATTTACCAGCATCAGAAGTGTTGCTATAGTAACGGGAAGGCGCAAGGCTACTCGTATCGTTGACATTTTCTTCTGGGCATGCGTGCAAATTTTCAGTACTTGACTAGACTCTATGGTGCTCAAATGGATGACTGATACGGTGTGCTCCTTTAAAAAGGTTCTATCTCAATAAAATGAGTAAGTCCAATAATTACCGTTAAAATCCAAGCTGAGTGATCTTTTGTTTGTCGGTTAATCTCTTCGAACTTTTTTTCATTTTGTTGCATGACAACGGGTCTAATCGGTTTCACAGGCAGTTCTTCAGAATTCAAAAAATGTATAGATTTTCGTGGTTCAAAAGCTGTGAAGAAAATACAACAGTTGTTCTCTTCTTCAGGATATCTTCAAAAGGAACAGTATGGGAAGTTTAAACGGTCAGTTTACTTAGCGAAGTCCACTTCACAGAAAGCCGCATGACGGAACTCAGCCGTGACAGAAACAAGACCATCGCTCATAACATTTATGTCTTTGTACTGTAGGCGACATAAAGTTTCATCCGGACATATTCTGAACAGACAGTAATGTTTTATCTGTTTTTTCAATACTCACGCAGTGTCTACCAAATGAGGTGTCCATATTCTGTGATGATCAGCTAAGTACATAGATGGTAAATGCCAAGAGTCTTCATCCCACTTCAACCGAGAATCAGGCCAATCCTTAAAGCGGATTTCAAAAGAAGAAAAAACTTCAGCCTACCATGTATATTTTACCGTATATGTTAAACTGATAACTTGATCCCGCTGCTAGTTCAACTGTTCGTACCAGAACCTCGTCTATCTGTCATTGTTTGGTGAATAATAGATATCAAACACAAGCTGCTCACGGTAATATTGATAACATGTTCAGGAGGTGGTGTTTCATGCAACGATCTTAGTTCGGAGGTTTTTTCAAAATCAGTGTTCAATAAATAGTAGTATAGACAATCTGCTAGTTCTTCACCTTTGTCAAGATCCATAAACTCTTAAAATTCAAATAAGCAGATGTTTTTTAGATTTTAATTGTTGTCCTACCTGTAAGATGAGTTAAGTTTGTTCTCCATTCACAATCTACTGTTGGAGCGGATGATATAGGAGAGGTCAGTAATAAAACGAAAAACATCAAGGAATTCAACATTGTTGGAAAATACTATCAGGCAAATGGCCAGCGAAACGCCTCGAAGAACTCCTATTTGGTTACCAAGACAACCATTGATTCTTTGTTGTTACGACTATATGCTGGTTTCGTTTGAAAATCGAATAAAAACAAATTGCACGTTCATTTCAAATCTTTTATCTTCTATTCTATCAATTAACTTGACAACTCGACAATTTATTTTTCTAAAATTTGCTTTCGGGTGGAGCGATATCTCCGTGTTGGAATAGCTTCCATGCCAAAGGACCTCCCCAGATACCACCGGATTGTGGCTGATGTACTTTACCCTACAAATTTGCAAATTTTGCATATAAAAAATAACTACAAACTTGTAATCCAGTCTCAGAAACTCGAGCATATTGCCAGAAAGATCCGAGAATAGTGGAGAGTATAGCAGCAGTAACTCCGATAGCCAAGCTATCCTCTGAAAAACGTCCTGATTAGCTATTCAGTGAACGAAGGGACTCACTGAAGGTAGCTGTAACGGCACCTACAGCAGCACTGGCGAACAGATGATTATAAACATCATCCTGTGTGAGATAGAATTAAGGAATAAATTTCTGAGTAAAACCCTCACCTTGTTTCTTAGGTTAGCAGCACTTGAGAGAGTGAACCCCCAAGCGAAAGCGACCGAGACTGGGAGAGGAGCGAGTTTGAGATATCTCTTGAAATAATTACGGGGAGAGAAACTCGAAACAGGTATGCTATGAGTGGCACGGATCTCCAAGAGGGTGTAAGGAGCCACTAAGAATCATAGAACATAGAGCAGAATTGAATAGTAAACTAACTGAAGATTGCTGCATATTTGGCACAAGCTAAACCTTTCACAAAAGAAGCCTCGTTCAAAGGTTGATCGAAGAATCGAGGACCAAAGTGGTGCCATGAGTTAGGAAGGAACACTGAGCGGCCCAAGAAAGATTTGGGAGCTGACGAAATAATAGGTGAATAGGTTAACACAACTAGCTTACTGTTGATCAGGTCGTTGAGAGTTGGATTCACGGCTAAACCAGGATGCTCTTTGGAGAGACCAAATTCTTCCGCAATTGCTTTGAACTGATGAGAAGCAGCATACGTCTGTTTTTGAGTAAAAAATAACAATCGGTTAAGAGTATCAAACCTTATTTTGGAAGTCTTCAAGGTTTCCTGGTTGGTCTCCCTTAATCGTAACATTTGGAGTCTTCGTGCCGTCCAAACCGTTTGGACCAGCTAAAGATTTTCCATCTTCAACCTTAAACAACAATTTTGGTATAGGAAACAAGTGTAACGAAACCTTAGGATCCCACCAGTCCGGATCGTCCTCTCTGACCTTAGCTCTACACAAACGAAGTCGTCCAGAACGAACAACTTCATCTTTCTCTCCGTTCTCCTTCCACCAATCAGGTCTTCCGGAACTGCATTTAGAAAAAAAACAATATATGGAAAGATGAAAACGCTTACTATTCACGAGAGCTCCACAAACCAAGCCATGGTGGTCTTTGAGTCGTGTAGGTAGCAACTAATGGTTTATCCTCATGCATCCTTCTGAATACCCTAAATTTTTCGAATAATTATCTTGTACAAGTCCGAAAAATTAATTAAAATAAATAATCAAGTAAGCAATCAATTTGCTTTTGAGCAACTAAGTTGACGCCAGCAAGCAATGTTTGACACCGGTTTAGTGCTAGCATCAATGGGACACGATGATGATTTCGCTCACCATGCTCTTAAGTAATCTAGGTTTTCATAGTTTCTTCAGCTTTTCGTAGAACGAGCATCATCCTGAGAGATGCTTACATTTATAATCACTTATGGTTTTTCACTCCTATCAGAAATCTTTTTTTTTCCAGTTCTCTTGTAGAATTTTTCGTTTAGAGCTGTTGCGTTTATAACAGTTCACGTTTCAGTTGTATTCATTTGGGCAAACGTAGTTTCAAAAATTTCTGGACGTTAGTTTGTGACTAAATGACGACTGAAGTGAGTTTTTATTTTAAAGTTTTACTTATCAGACAATTTATTATACTCAGGGAGCATCCACATATATCATAGATGAAATCGCCAGAAAACTTTTTCCTACTGAGACCTCCAAGTTCAACACTGCTCTTAGTGAACAAAGCTCGGAATGTTTGAAATTTTTTAGCACAGTTTCCTTGGAAAAACCAGGTACATCCTTAAGGGCTTAACTGACTGAAAATAAATCGCTATTAAGGGTTTTTCAAAAAAGCGTTGTATTCATATATAAACACAATGTTCCATTTCTTACCTGCAAAAATATGTGAAAAGGAAGAAACCATAAGTAAGATTCACGTTTCTACTCGTATTCTGAATGTTCATTGAAGATCTCGAGAAACTAAGCATTGTGACTCGTATCCCTTTTCAAGAGAGAGGATCCTCCAACGAACTCTGTATGTTAGCTTATCTTTTCGACACAATGAGAGTTATTAAGAATGAGTTTTTCGGAAGAGTTAGTTGTTCTTTATTTACAAAGTAGCCTTTCTTCTTTAGATATCTGAGCAGGACATTACTCTTGCTAAGGAAGCACATGACGCGTTATGCGCAGTCAGCGCTTCGATACTCAAAGGATTTTCTACGACGTAAATTAATTACTGGCATCATCGAAAAATTATCGAAACGTTCATAGAACAGATTTGTTGACTGCAAGAGTTGGGTTCCTCCGTTTGTTACTCGAGAAAAACATCACACCCGAAGATTTGAGCACTTTCATCGCTTATGTTACTGACAGCGAGGAGTTGGAAGAGGTGAACATCAGTGCTTAATGCGCTGTAACTGCCTGTTTTCAGGTTTTCAATCCTATCCTGGACATGTTGAAGAACATCTTTATATGTCAAGAGTTATGCGATAACTTTGATGAATATATCATCTTATCGTATAATTGTGTAATAAATCTTATCAACGTTACCTTACCGGATAAGAGCAAGCCTATTTGCGACATAGTGAGCTGTTATTTTTTTTTTGTTAAAAACTTCTTTTACAGATTGTAAGAAGACCTGATTTTCTTTATGAAGAGACAGAAACGAAAGCCAGTGCCAGAGAAACAAGTACCCTTTCCTTTCTTGGCGCTTTCTTGAGTTTTGGGATGCTCAGTGATGAAGGATTGGTAAGCTACATGAAAACTTATCAATTCAGCATAACGGTTACAGCCAGAAACTCCTCGAAAATATTATGATGTGAAAGCTTATCCAGAAAACGATGAATGCAGTATACTTCATAAATCATATCATAACCGTTTGCTCACAATGAGAGTTAGTTCATGCTCCTAGGTTTATTTAAGTTTCCCATTTCCAGAGACATATGCATACTATTGTTCACACTTTTATAGTTTATGGGAGTACGAGGTCCAGGACTCTGAACTGGTTCGAACATATCATTGAAAAAAATTCGAATAGAGCCAAAATGAGGGTAGTTTACAGAAGTTTATACAATCACCTTACTTTGAGTTTTTTTCAAGGCAACCGCAGCTCATCTATGTAACGATAACTTCATATGTAACTTTTTGTGGATTCTTTTTGAGCTCTCACAGAAGATCGCCGTGGGAAAGGTATGACATAATTGTTACACCCATTAATAAGATACTTGATCAGGTTAATGTATTTTATCCCTTCCAAGATAACAGCAGAGTTGATTTGAAAGAGGAAACTCGCATCAAAATGAATTCCACAGAAGCAAAAAGTTTTGCGGATAGTCACAGTAAGTTTGTAGCTATTCCACCCTCATTAGACCTAATTTCAAAGACGTCGCTACTAGTGAAGATAATTTCTCCACTGAATGTTTTTTCCTTACTGTCCACGCAACTGCGATCGGCTTGAAAGCTATTAAATCGAAGCTTGAAACTCTCCGAATGCATGAAATGAACTTGACTAAAACCATTGAAGTTGGCCACATCAATGTGTCTTTCAATTCAAACGATCATTATAGAGTTTGGAAGAGAGTCAGAAGAAAAACCCTGACACTAATGGCAAGGCTCAGCTCAGAGATTTGAAGAAAAGGATGCTCGTATGTTCAAAACACTTTTTTTATACTGAAAATACGGTTTAGACCATAGTGAGAACTGTTTTGTGTTATGAGTGCTTCCTTAGGGATGACAATCTTCTTCATTCGGGAACTTCATTCACCGTAAAACAATTAAGTTTCATTATGAAAGTTTTGAATGTCCCTCAGTAAGTCCTACAACCTTGAATTTTTCACCAATTCGACATGCAGACATGACGATGGTAACTTGCCAGAAAATGCTCCTGAAACTTTCCAAGCCTTGCCAGAGTTTTATGTCGAAGAACCGCTGGATTTCTTATCTCATATTCTCAAGTATAACTAAAATTTGTTCTCTCTCTGAAATATATTCACATGATTAGGACAGCACCTAAGTTGGTTTTCGAAGAACCATACAACTGGGGAGAGCACTTCATCGCTTTGGCGTGTCGCATCAATTTCTTCAACAATCCAAATTTGAAAAAGAAGGTTTTGGTTTCATTCCATATTTTTTAATCACCTGTTCCAGATCGTGGAGGTTATTGCCATGATCAGTCCTGCTTATCAGCCTGGCGCCACCCATGTGTGGAATCAAATGGCTAATACTCCATTGGCCATCAATCATCTACTACCTTGTCTTGTCAAAGTCTTTTTTTTTGCTTGTTCTAGAAGAAATTATTTTATTCAGTTCTATGCTGATGCGGAAGTCACAGATTTCATGTACAAGTTTCCAATCCGAAGACACATGCATATCATATTCAAGTGTCTCTGGGAAAGACCTTTGTATCGATCAAACATGATTGAAATTGGAAGGTGATTGCAACATTTCTTTATTGAACCGCAATAATATGACTGTTTCAGAGCTTCTGCTCCTGAATATATTAGATTTATAAATATGATCATCAATGATACCACGTATCTGATGGATGAAAGCTTGGCTGCTTTAAAAAAAGTTTCAACAGCTTGTCCTCTGATCTAATATATCCATTTCAGATTCATGATATTGAAGGCTGCATGGAAAATGCGGATGAGTGGAATAAGCTATCCAGTGAGGAAAAAAGTCAAAAGGAGTCTATGCTTGATTCAGCCAAACACGACGTATGGGAAAGAAAAATATATGCATCTTAATGTTCGTTTAGGCTAGGACATGGCTTTCATACTGCTGGGAGACTCTTGAGTTTTTGCAATGCTTGACCAAGGATTCTCCAGAATCCTTCCATGATGTCGTGCTGGGAGAACGCCTAGCAGCTATGCTCAACAACAATCTTCAACAATTATGCGGGAAAAAATGTACAGAGCTCAAGGTTTTCAACTTTTGTTTTCTCTTCTTATGTATAAGTTAAGGTGAAAGATGCCAAAACCAGGTTTGAGTGGGAGCCTCGGAAATTCGCTGGGAAAGTTATCGAAATTTATGTAAACTTAAATTCTTCTGAATTCGCTAAATGTATAGCAAACGATGAAGTGAGCTAGTACAACGTTATTACTTCAATTATAAAATAATTTAAGAGATCATATTCTCCATTAACAATGAGCGACATATTAGCGAAAATGGTAAACCACAACATCGTTAACTCTAGTCATTTCGAAAGGTACTTTCATGAAGTTTATATTGTTCTGATCTCGTTTTAGATTCCGCAACTTGACTGAAATGGCAGCAAAGCATTATAATGAGAAAGAGTCTGTTGAGCTAGAGTTGGAGTATGATGACGCTCCTGAAGAGTATAAAGGTTGTTTTCAACTAGATTTTTGTTGTTGAGAGCTGTTCTTATAGATCCCGTTATGGCTACAATCATGGAAAATCCTGTAAGATTACCATCCGGTCATATTATGGACGAAAAAGTGATAATGCGGCATTTGCTGTCCAACGAAACTAATCCGTTCAATCGAGCTCCTCTGTTCGCCTCAGATCTCACACCTTGTTAGTTTATATTCATTTTTCTGCATCAAAATTTTCTTGCAGTGCCCGATCTGAAAGCAGAAATCCAAAACTGGATCAAAACTAAACTTGGACGTTAACTATTTGAAAACTAATACACATGAACTCACTGTGAATGAAGTCAATGAACTTGTCTAAAAACACGAACCCGTTGAGAAATATTTTAAAAAAAGTGTTTATTCTGTTGCCTCCATTATTTTGAAGTTTCTGTTTTTAATTCTTAAATATTTAAGTTATGTACAGTTCACTCATTAAATTATTCTTATTTTCTGAATAGCTCGTTAGAGTTGAACATTTATATTGTTAGACCAGTACCTTTCCTGTTTCTTTAGCGATTGATATGTTTTGTTTTAAGTTAGTTACTAGGAAGCCGATAACAACATGTCCGTCTCAAGGAGTTCTCTGAAGGTGAGTGACATTTTAAAAAGTGTTTTTATTTATTTTTTTATAGTTCCCTATCCTTTCTCTTCTGAACGCCCAGCGTCGGATGGTAAGCGATGTAACTTTCCATACAAAGGTGAGCACCAAAGTAATGGAGTTGTACCATTATTTTTATCTCAGGGTTATAAGTTGCACAAATTAGACAATGGACCATCCACAACCGTCACTTTGACCCGTGAGGATGCTTTAAAGTACTACCGTGATATGCAGGTGTGAGATCTTCAAACCAACGCTCAGAAATCGCGTTCCTTCACAGATAATCCGTCGTATGGAATCTGCTGCTGGAAATCTCTACAAGGAAAAGAAAATTAGAGGATTCTGCCATCTCTACTCTGGTCAAGAAGCCTGCGCTGTTGGAATGAAAGCAGCTATGATTGAAGGAGATTCTGTCATCACAGCTTATCGTTGCCACGGATGGACATATTTGTTTGGATCTACTGTACCAGAAATCCTTGCTGAGTTGACCGGTAAGCTTCCAAGAATCAATCGCAGAAAACAATTTTCATAGGACGCGTATCTGGTAACGTCTATGGAAAAGGAGGATCCATGCATATGTATGGTAAAGACTTTTACGGAGGAAACGGAATCGTTGGAGCTCAACAACCATTGGGTGCTGGTGTAGCTTTAGCTATGAAATATAGGTTCGAGGAATATTATACTATGCATTTGAATTCCCCTTGTTGTAGGGATCAGAAAAATGTCTGCTTCACATTGTATGGTGATGGAGCTGCCAATCAAGGACAGTTGTTTGAGTCCACAAATATGGCGAAACTGTGGAACTTGCCAGTCATTTTCGTTTGCGAAAATAATGGTTTCGGTATGGGTACTTCAGCGGAACGTGCCTCTGCTTCTATGGAATACTACACAAGGTGATTCATACCAGCATCTTTCCTAAATTGTCATGTATTTCAGAGGAGACTACGTTCCTGGTGTATGGGTTGATGGTATGGACATCTTAGCCGTTCGTGAAGCTACGAAATGGGCCAAAGAATACTGTGATTCTGGAAAAGGACCATTAGTCTTCGAGATGGCTACTTACCGGTACCACGGTCACTCCATGTCTGATCCTGGAACCAGGTAAATTTTGGGAATTTGAAAAACAATTTTAATTATTTCTTTAGTTACCGTACCAGAGACGAAATTCAGGAAGTGAGAAAGACTCGCGATCCCATTACCGGGTTCAAGGATAGAATTATAACTTCAAACCTCGCAACTGAAGAGGAATTGAAGAATATCGACAAGGTGCATTGTCTTTTCTCGAGTTATAATGCAGTGTTTGTTTTCTAGGATGTTCGCAAGGAGGTTGATGAAGCTGTTAAGATTGCTACAAGCGATGGAGTCATGCCACTTGAAGGATTATATGCCGACATTTTCCATAATACTGAGGCCCAGAATGTGGGTTTCCTGTAACCTAACGCGTTTTGAACCGAGTTTTGATTTCAGATTCGTGGAGCCACCATAGATGAATCGGTAGTGCAACCATTCCTCACTTCAGCTGAGCTTCTCAGAGCGATGAAGAAATAAGTTTTGATTACAAAGTAGAAATAGGACTCAGAAGCATTTTTTCATCTTCAGAATAAATAGAATTATTCTCCTTAATATGTTTGAGCTTAATAAATTTTTTTTTGTCCATCAAGAAGTTTTTTGGATGGAAGTTCGAACTAACACCACTATCATTTTTTTCACTTGAGGAGGAAACGGCCGTACAAACCTAATAAATTGACACCACTTTTAATTTGATTCTACAGAACTGCCCTTTTTTCGGAAGACAACAAGAGAAGCCTGCGAGCAGTTTCATGTACATATAACGAACAAATCAACAATCGGTAAAAATTTGATTCTCTATTCTTTCTGGGACAAATGGCTTAATGATCCTACTAAATCACCTCCTAATCTTCCTAAGCTTGTTGGAAGTTCGTTCAATTGCGTTGACAGTATTCCAACAGTTTCCGCACGAACATCTTCGATATCTCTGTACTCCGCTAGTTTCCTCACATATTCCATCGGCAGGATTCTGTTGTTCACGGCAACGGCTGTGATCAGTTGGATAAGATAGAAAAAAATTGTTTTCAATGACTAACCGAGAGGAGTTAACCAATTGAGCTTATCTGTTTCTACAATAAGAGACTTCAAACTCTTTAGGTCTTTTCCAAACAATAAAGCGTTTGAGCCGACCAACAGAGGTTCTAATGACTGAACAGCAGTGCCTGTAACAATCAATTAACATTGTAAGAAAAAAATTCCAAACCTTCGAAGACTTTTTTCAGGACCTTATTACCATAGTTTCTGAATTCAAGTCCTTTCAACCGTAACCTGAAAAGAGATTCAAGCAGTGTCACAGCCCACAGACTAACTGATTTTTTGTGAGCCATAAGGTTCGTCCATTGACAGGAAGGAATTGACATACAACAATAACAGAATATTCTTCACTGACAATCCATTTTTTGACCAATTGGGACAAAGCCAGCTCCACGTCCATATACTGAAATTGAGGAACTGCATTATTGGTATCAAATTTAAACTGACACTTTGGTCTTTCAGCAAATTGTTTTGATGGACAATACTGGGACCAACACATGCTTGTACAGTGTCAGGAAGTATTGGTTTCAAACTTTCTTCGAATAAACGTCGCCTTAAATGAGTTGAACAATAAACAAAGAAATGAAGGCTGCACGAACTTGTAGGGTCTGGGGAATGGTCTGGGATATTTTGAAGATACGAAACGTGCTGAAAACTGAATCACATTTGAGCAGTTTCTTGGTTTAAATAACATCTGGAATTGAATGCAAATTAAGAAGGAACACTGTAAGAAATAGGATAAAATTAGTCTTATAAGCATAGTTTCCATAGAGTACACAAAAATCTCGCCAAAGGTAGCATTGGCGTCTCTACGGTTCAACAAAAACATAAACGCTTCCATGTAAAAATGAAATGAGAGTTAGTAGCTCTAGATATTAACTTCTCTTACTTCAAGCATTTAATGAATGAATGAACTTCGAGAGAATTTGGAACACATTCAAACTGAATTGTTTTAAAAAAAGGTAGACTAGAATCGGCAAAGTACGCTCTGTTTCAGAAAATCAGAGTACGTTAACTTTTTGCTAGTCGGGATTTGAGCTGATTGACTTTTTACGAGCTTAGAGCATACGGTTGATTCCAGAACGAATATGTCTATTCATCATAGTGAAGCCTACAAACTGTGAATAGTAATAATACATTATTGTTTTCATTCCACAATCATCAGTTTCACTGCGGTTTGTCATACATGTAAGAATTTTTAAAATATTTTTGTGGTGTTTTACAATTGTTTTATTAATTTATTTTACATAGACAGCATTCATTTCATTTAATTTTCGTTTATACAAACGCAAATAACCTAACTTGGTTTGCGTTGAGATGTGTACGACCATACCACGTTGAAAATACGCCATCCCGTCCGATCTGGCAAGTCA